TTGTGGGGGCCTCAAGGAAAAAAATTGTCCAGTGTGTTAGAAATGCCAGAGCCGATTTCTGGTCCCAGTCTGCCCCTGCTTGAGTCCAATGGGGAGCATTCTTGTGTAGTTACAGTGGTATTACAGTGTGGCTAGCTGTGGTATTGGTGTGGTGGAGGTTGGAACAGGTTCCACTGGGGAGACACGGAAAGGACTGGTCATGTCTGGACAACATGGAAGCATTCTGTAACGAAAGAAGAGGGAGAGGGAGAGAGACAGGTGGAGAGAGAGTATGAGAGAGAGAGGTGGGAGGAGGAGGGATTAAAGGCAACAACCACCAACACATTACAGAAACGTGTTGGTGTTTTCGTACAACATGACAACTGGACACTTCTTGTAGATCTGAATGGAATTTGGATTTGGATTTGAAATCTAGAATTAGAACTGGAATGTATTTGGATAAGTCAGTCAGCTCTACCGGTAAACCAACCCCACAGAGAGAGAAGAGAGGATGGTGACATCACTCCACCAGCAGACCCTCCACATCACTCATCCTTTATCTAAAATCAATTATCATGGTGAACGAGGGAGTGTGAAAGAAGGAACGAGAGAGAGAGAGCAGTGTTAGCGATAGACATCAGAGCGACAGCTGTGTGTATGTATGTGTTGATGTGTGTGTGTGTGTGTGTGTGTGTGTGTGTTCATTAGCAATCAGACATCAGTGTAACAGTTACAGTCAGCACTCTCCAGTCCAGACAAACACCATTTCATGTCCACTCAGTCCTGGCCAGATTACAACAGCCTGTTGGTGATCTATTGTTGTGATTTAGCGTAAGGTTACACTGTAATGACTGGATGGGTTACACTATCATGATGTTGGGGAGCCCAACACAGCTCAACACCATGCAGTCCTGCGGTAATGGACCTAGGCAGGCAGAGAGAGACAGACTCAGGGCAGAAGAATACTGCCTGTAAAACTATGCTAAGAAAGTGAGAACACAGCAGTATTGATGCGTCTCATTGTTACCACCAGTGGAGAAGAGGTATAATGGTGGCGCATTTGTAATGATAATTTCACTCTGTGGCACATCGTTTGTTACGGAGACAGCTAAGGAGAGCAGGCACTGGAGTACTGTGACCTGGTGACACACACACACACAAACACACACAGTTGTCCCTGTTGCCAGGAGATTGACGAGTCAGTCAGGGAAGAGGCTCTTTGGAGACCAGAGCCAGCGTGTAGGCTACAGGCTACAGGCTACAGGCATCATCCATCCTGCAACATCGTCTCTGTGTGTGTGTGTCAGCTCTCTGTTTGCCGTTTGGCCTCATCTGTCAGTCTACAGCCAGTCTGTCCCTGTGGTTTGTCTGTCCTGCTCTCATTAACAGTCAATTGAGTGAAGGGTGTGAATACATTCAATATTTCTCAGCATATTCTTTTGAAAATGAAGTTATTATCATTCCCCATAAGCAGAGGAACGAACCGAGCAATTCATAACTAACACTGGTGAGATGATTCATACCAGACATTCTGGTCTTCATCACTGACCTCTGACCTACAGGATATTACCATGTGGATGACATCTTCCCAGCGGCCGTGCATGTGTATGTATGTGTGTGTGTAGAAATGCACCTTTGCGAACGTGTGTGCCATGTGTGTATGGATGACATCCTCCCAGCATGCAGCAGCAGTAGAAGGCAGGGCCAATGTCTTTCCAACATGGCGTCACGCCATGCACTGCAGCTGCACACAGCTGGAGACTTTTTACTGTGACAGCTAGGGCCAAGGGGATGGAGGGAGGGAAGGATGGAAAGGAAGGGAGAGAAGGTTTGAGTCCTGGCATTAAGTAGGGGTCCATGGTAGAAAGGTTGGAGGGTAGGGGAAGATAGGGTGTGCTCCACAGGGTAGAGGCGATAGGGTCCAAGGTTGGGAGGAGGGGGTATGGCAGGGGTTGGGGGGAGGGGTAGGAAGAGGAAAGTATGGAAGGGTTGATAAGAGAGGGATTAAAAATATGATAGAGACATTAGAGTGTTGTAATTGGAAGAGTTATTTTACAAAGCAGAAACATGCTTTCTCCTCATCACTCTTCCCCAAGTGGAACCATGCTTTCTGGGCCGGTTGCTGCCAGGGGAACAGAGTTAGACAGCACATGGTGTGGACGGGTGATAAACGGGTCCTGTTAACCTCCCTGCCTGGCTGTGTTAGCATAACACTGTGTTCTACTGGGCTCTCACTGTTACAATGGACACAGACACCCTGCCTGCCTACCTGCCTCCCTCCCTGCCTCCCTGCCTGCCTCCCTCCCTCCCTGCCTCCCTACCTGCCTGCCTCCCTCCCTGCCTCCCTGCCTGCCTCCTCTCCTGTCCTGTCCTCCTGTCTACTGCTTAGTCTCTCTTTCTCTTCCTTCATCTATCTCCTATCTCTTTACCCCTCTCTCACCTGTCTCCTGACCTCCTGCTGCTGGATAATCTCACTCTCTCTCTATTCTTCTCCCTCGCTCCTCTCCTCCATCTCTCCCCTGTCAGTTCTTGCTCCCAGGAGCTCAGGGGTTTTAGATCACAGTAAAGAACAAATTGGAGCAGCAATGTGTAACATACTGTGTTCATCGTTCCCTGACTGGGGGACAATATCCAGCTCACCCCCTTTCCTTTCCTTTATCCCTCTCCCTCACTCCTCTTCTCCATCTTCCCTAGGCCATCTGGAGAACGTCAGGCTTTCAGGGGAGAGCAGAGACCATCAGTCACCATCATACACACACACACACACACACACACACACACACACACACACACACACACACACACACACACACACACACACACACACAGTCAGCCCCTCAGACATCCCCCAAGACACTGCCCTGCTCTACAACCCTGTAAGATCAGCTGCATTAAAATCACACTATAAATCTACCTGCTAACTACGCCGGGCCTGCTCTACAGTATATGAAAGGCCTTATTGGAAGTGGCCCTGAACATGGATCCTGACTCAGAGCAGAAGAACAGGGATTGACAACAGAAGCTCTGTGGGGACTAGAGAGGAGAGCTGGAGACCAGATGTCTGGTAGAGACGGGGCAGAGAGGAAGAGGTGAGGAAGAGAAAGAGGTTTAGCTTTTTGGGGCAAAGTTGGTGCCTTGTTCCTTTGTCCCAAAGCTGTAAAACACCAGAAAGAATCATAGGGACAATTTTATCCGCATTCATTTTTTTGAAAATATTTTGATAATGTTTATTATAAAAATATAAATGTTTCCACTACAAATCATTTTACATTAGTAGACAAGGCCTTTACGCACGCAAGCGCGTCGTACGCACACACTCGCATGCCCACACACACAAGCACACACACGCACCGGCGCACACACACGTTAATCTAAAGAAAGCAAAAAGAGTAGGGATGGGGTGCATAACAGTATTGCTCTTACAAATATTCATGTTTATAAAGTAAATAGAAAACATTGAGGACGCTGCCACAGAACCAACCATGTCATAGATTACGGTATGCTACAAAAAAAACATTACACTTTTGCACTGTATATGTTAACAAATAAATAATAGGTTATTATAATTGCTTTTTTTAACTGTAAAAAAACAAATATAATACAAAATAACATAAAATATTATACAAAGAATGTTTGTCTTTTTAAAATGTTGCACAGATATTTCTGTTCATTCTTTTATACATAGAAACATTTGTACAAAGGGATGGCCATGGAAGGGGACTGTACTGCTAGTAGATATGGTTACACAGTTGTTTTACATATGTACATGCTATACAGAACACGTAACAGCAGCTAAGGGCGGGCAGGGGATGGACGGAGGTGATATCACACACACATACACACACACACACACACACTGTTCATATCAGAGAGAATCCTTATCTGCTGTAGCGATGTAATACACTCCTTTTATCCAGAGAGTTGTGAGATCCCCACCAGCTCTGGGATGGTGTTGTTCATTTTCATCTATCTACCTTACAGAGCAGAATACGCTCTGAAGTAGTCGGCATGGTATTCTCTCTCTACCTCTCTCTCTCTTTCTCTCCATCTTTCTCATTACCTCTACAGCTCCCTCTCTTTTTCTCTCTCCCTCTACATCTCTCTCTACTTCTACCTCTCTCTCTCCCTCCCTCTCCTTTCTCTCTATCCTGCTTCAGTTTGAATGAATAATATACATCCTGAGATTTCACACTAGGGCTAGGAACTAGGAAGCTTGGAGTGATGCATCATTACCTACTGTATGATAAGCAGACAGGTGGTAGTTAGTTACGGTTCTGTATGATAAGCAGACAGGTGGTAGTTAGTTACAGTTCTGTATGATAAGCAGACAGGTGGTAGTTAGTTACAGTTCTGTATGATAAGCAGACAGGTGGTAGTTAGTTACGGTTCTGTATGATAAGCAGACAGGTGGTAGTTAGTTACAGTTCTGTATGATAAGCAGACAGGTGGTAGTTAGTTACGGTTCTGTATGATAAGCAGACAGGTGGTAGTTAGTTACGGTTCTGTATGATAAGCAGACAGGTGGTAGTTAGTTACGGTTCTGTATGATAAGCAGACAGGTGGTAGTTAGTTACGGTTCTGTATGATAAGCAGACAGGTGGTAGTTAGTTACAGTTCTGTATGATAAGCAGACAGGTGGTAGTTAGTTACAGTTCTGTATGATAAGCAGACAGGTGGTAGTTAGTTACAGTTCTGTATGATAAGCAGACAGGTGGTAGTTAGTTACAGTTCTGTATGTGGTTTGATATATCCTGTTTACCATCAGAGCAAACTGTACATGTCTGAGACTCATGGCTTCAGGTTGATCAAACTGATAAACTGATTGTTATGATTATTGCTCTGTGTTTGACATTGACTGTTTGCAGACATTAGTCTATAGGGGGTACATGGCTTATTCTAGTATGGGTGACCATCAAATGGTTTGGCTTCCTTCTCAAGCTGATTTTCTCTTGAGTATACCTTCCCACTCACATGCAGGGACATAGGTGCACACACACACACAGACACACAGAGTGGTATCAGTCCTTCTCTGTGAGAGAGTGCAGGGTCTTCAGCGGTGGGAGTCTCCAGGTCTGCTTCTGTTTGCTGCAGGTTGATGTGAGTGGGTTTCTGCTGCTGCTACTGTCTGCATTGTTCTCCTCAAGGCATTTAACGTCCCCCTCTACAGAATTTAAGATCTGTCAGTCAAATCCACAGGATCAGATCATGACTAGTTCAGTTCTCAACAAGCCCCTTTCCACTATAAGTCACACACAGGGACCTGCTATCCCAGGTTCTCCAATCCCAGCGCCGGCCCTTTATCCCCATGCCCTTAAGGTCCAAGGCCAGGTTCTCTCCCCCCCTTTCCTGTGTTCTCAGTAAGGCATCTCAGCATTGGTGCGGAGTGTCGAAGAGTTGGTCGGTCAGTCTGTCGGTCTGACTGCTTGCCCTGGGTTCAGGGTAAGGGCAAGACATCATGGTGACATCATCAAACTCCAGAGCGGTTGACCTCCTCTGCACCACTCTTCTAATGTCTACTTCCTCCTTTAGTTTGGGACTTCCTTCCTGTATGTTACAGAGATCAGAGGGCTGTTCTAATCCAAAGTACTACGAGCCCCTCCTCTCCCATCCTTCACTCCCTATCACTACCCCTCGAAATGGGAGGGCTCCCTCGTGGAATGAACATAATTGAAACGTCCACAGAGGTCTCACTGGAGTGGAGGGAGGAGCTGAAAAGGAGATGCTTTAATTCAGAATGGAACGGGGCCCAGAGGGGCTTCATTCAGAATGGAACGGGGCCCAGAGGGTCTTAATTTAGAATGGAACGGGGCCCAGAAGGGCTTCATTCAGAATGGAACGGGGCCCAGAATGGCTTCATCCAGATTGGAATGGGGGCCAGAGGGCAGCCAGTCAGCCAATCTGTGGATCTCTAGTGGCTTGGTTAGGTTAGACTGGGACAGGGCCATTCTTACTGTGGCTCTCTAGTGCTTTGATGCTGCTCACAATGTTCTTCTGGGGGCCGACGATAGTCACACCAACCTTCTTTAGGTCCCTGTAGAGAGAAAGGGGGAGGGGGAGGGGGGGGGGGGAGAAGAGAGACGAGAGAAGAGAGAGAGAGATAGTTAGTGCTTCAGTATGTGACACACAGTGACATTAATGACATGCCGTCAGTGCCTCCCCTCCCCCTCCCCCTTCCGCTGGCCTGTCAATCACAAGGTCGATGGGCTGCCAGAGCTGATGGGAGAGTGGCCTTGGGCAGTTTTTGATCATGCTTAGTCTGAAGTGGTGTGTGTGTGTAGTGCGTGTATGTGTGTGTGTCTTTGGAAGGGAGCAGCACTGGTACAAATAGGTGGATAATAAATGCATAATAAATTAAATGGTTAGAGCAAGCTTCGTCACAACATAGGCCCACAGAATGGGTTACACACAGCATTTCATAAAGACACTCAAACAAGTGTGTTATGTTTCATCTAGTGGACTGTATGTAGCAGCATGGTGATATTAGGTACAGCAGTGGGATATTATGGTACATCAGTGGACAAGACATCTTCAGCTCAGCTCCTGTAGGTGACTGTGGTTATAGACACATATTAGTAAAGCAGATCTTAGTTAGAAACAGCGCAGCTAAAACCCGCTCAGTTAACATAGCTTTAGTTTTACATTAAGCTTCAGTTCTCTGCTAGTCTGTAGGGTGCACACAACACAAAACATGAAAACTCCTTATAAAGTTATTTTGATGCAAGCAGGGGGTTATAGTTTGGAGGGCAGCCAGAGAGTGCACTGTGATCCACCCACCATCCGGTGTCTCTGGAGTAGGGGATGGAGAGGAGAGGGGGTTAGAGGGTGGTGATCCCCATAGAAGGCTCCCACTCTGGGCAGGTGGCTGCTGTGACGTGGTGCTGGACCTCCGTCAGACAGATTCTACAGTACAGACAGACAGGCAGGAGGCAGGGCCAGGGAATGTGAATAAAACGTCTCAGGCCAATGGATGTCACACAGCCATACAGGCAACAGTCTCTCAAAAAGGCTTATGGGTACACAGCGTTAACACCATGAACAGCGTGTTACAAATAAACAAATAAATAATTAAATATAGTTAATAAAGGACATAAAACATGAATACATAAAGTATGACACATAAATAGAAAACAGTCTAGACAGTGAATGACTCATGCAATAAAACTGATAAAAACAAATGACTGTGGTTGTGCTTTGTCCCTTCCATTTTGAAGTGTTTGAAGTAGAGCTCATCATCTGTCAAGTTTAAGTAGACCAGGGCCCAAACTCATATTCCTCCTCTGACACATGATCAATGAGAATGAACCATAATGGATATGGTGGTAGTGTTTACAGTGAGCAGCTAACTGCCACCCAGACAGAAAGGGCTGTCTCATCTAGAACTCTGAAGAGGCTCTTCACTGTGAGAGCATACAGAGACTTCATTCCTGCTGCTGTGTGTCACTAGAAGTGGTTAGAGTTGACTCATCAGGCTTCCATCACAGATAGTGAGACAGTGAGACAGAAAGACAGAAAGACAGAGAGACAGAGAGACAGACAAGAGAACGGCAGAGGGGAGGGAGTATGATTCCTTAGGCTGTACCACCCGTCCTCAGAACTTCCAGAACCTCCATTTGAAACCCACCTCTCTGTCTATTCATTATAAGTATATTGTGTCAGTGGATTAAGGAGTGGTATAGGGTTTGATTAGTTTAGTCTGGCAGACAAACAGAGGTCAGAGCATGTGCCAGGGGTAGTCTCCTGCTGAATATGAAGGACTGGATTAAGATACTACTAATCAATCGAGTGATATACTACGGTCCAGGACTGGATGTGTCAGAGGTATACCCTTGGAGGATTAAAACACACACACTTGATCCAATTCCTGTTTTGATCCCATTATGATCCATGAGAGGAGAATCAGAGATGCTGTAGAATGATCCTGTTAGCAGAAACCATGTGTAGGCTATACAGTTAATCTGTGATGTATTCCATCAATACTGTATGTGGTATTTCTACTGAGTCTGCAAAGGAAGCCTTTTTGTGACTCTGTAGTGATTGGTTTAAGGGAAGCTCTCATTGATGAAATTGATTAATTGTCCTGAGAAAAAACTCTTCCTGTAAGAGAATGTGCTGCTACAACAGTATCTAGAGAGAGAGAGACAGAGAGAAAGTGAAAGAGAGTGTCCTCTCTCCTTATAAGGCATTGTTCTGTTGGACAGATCAGGCATTCTCTAAGGCAATTAAACTAGGCCATGGGTGAGGAGATAATTTAATACGCTATTTGCATTTCATTATTTATATTGACATCAGAACAAAAGGCAACGTGGTAATTACTGCCTGGGCCTTTTGTTAGGCTGTTTAGTCGCTGTGTGTAGTGACTGTGTGTAGTCGCTGTGTAGTCCAGTGGGTTAGGGAGACCAGAGCATGGCACCCAGACATCTGCTTTGATCAGCCTGATTACAACTGTCAAATTATTTACACTCTCAAATACCTCATCAATTAACACAACAGCAGGTCCCCAAAGGCCACATCCTCCACTGAGAGAGAGGGAGGGAGGGAGGGAAGGGAGGGAGGGAAGGAGAAGGGGGGAGGGAGAGGGAGAGGGAGAGAAAGAGAGCAAGAGATAGAATGTGAGAGGAAAATGAGAGATGGAAATTAGATAGAAAGAAAGGGACAGAGAGAGAAAGCCTCCAGCGGGCCAAATCACTACATTTCCCATGAAACCCACATGAGCAGCATTGTGGAGCCGAGAGCCCAAAGAGAGGTTTATTATTAGAGCGAGAGGTTGCGATGAGTTGGGGGTTGTGATCATAGATCCTGCCAGATCCACTCTACTAAAGCTGTTCACAGCCTGTAGATCCTGTCAGAACTGGAGCTTAGATTTTACAAGATGTCTCTCTCTCTCTCCGTCTCTCTCTTTCCTTCTGTCTCTTTCTTTCTCTCTCTCTCTTTCTCTCTCTCTCCGTCTCTCTCTTTCCTTCTGTCTCTTTCTTTCTCTCTCTCTCTCTCTCCTCTCTCTCTCTCTTTATGGTTGGTCTCTGTGTAGCATGGCTAAAGCTCTGTCATTACAGATTACAATCAAACGCTGCTATCCATGGTTAACAGATTAGACCCACAGCGGTGCCTCCGAGTAATGGAGGCAGATTGTAAACATGTTGGGGTCTCAGTGTGGATGGGTGTGAGCTGTATTAAATCTGGGTTGCTGTGGCATGAGAGACTTTCTCAGGGGAAAGTCCTGTTTTAAGTGTCTTGTCTGAGCTCTTTAAATCACTTAGGGCCTCACCCCCTGTTGCACTCACAGACACAAAAATGTCAGGGTATTCCAAAATTTTGTAAAATATTATTTTAAGTTAAATTCATTTCATACAACAACTTGCAAGCCAAAAAACGTAAATTTCACTGGACCATTGGTTCCTCAGCGAGTCTTCAGTGAGTCCTGTAAGTGTGAGTCTGAGTTTTACTACAGAGCGTCATAAGAAGCATTCTTACTCTGCGGAGGTCTTGGGCAGGGTGTCACAGGAGCTGTAGCTGACCCCAGAGAAGGCCTCCTTACAGGGCAGAGTCCTCACGCTGTCCAGCCAATCCCCCATGGTGTCCAACGATGGAACCACCTCAGAACTACTCCTGTCCATGAGCAGGTTGACTGGCCTGGAACAGGGTGGAGGGGGAGAGAAAGGACATGGATGGTTAGCCGTTTGGCACACTAGCCATACTTGAACTCCTTGTGATGAGGAGGGTTACATGGGACCCAATACAGTCCCCTCAGAGAGATGCCACGGTCAGCCTTGGAACGGAAATAATACTATCCCTACTTCCTCCCTCCACTCAGCTGATACACAACTCTGTCTGTCTGCCCAGAGAGATACACCACCAACCCTGCAACACACATACACATACACGCTGGAGTCTGCAAATCACATCAGGGACTGAAACTCTTATTATTGAGAAAACAAGCTCATAAAATAACATGCTGCAAAGAGAGAACACAGAAGGCTGTAAACCATATTTCCCCATGCATGCACACACACACACAGACACACACACGCCGACACACACGCACCACGGGTCTCCCCATAAGGAAATACCTGTGGAGAGAAGGGACTACCCACAAACCCGTTCTGTTGCAGTGTGTTATGGACAAGCTCTCCCCAGTGAAAGCCACACATACAATTTAATGTTTACTTTACCATACTGACAAGTCTAATGATTTCCCAATATGACTGTTTACACTGTTTCTAGGTCATGAAGTCAATGTAGCTCCAAACATGTATATGTTGGATGGGCTTTGAGACAAAGAAAAAGGAAACTGTAATGTGTAGATTCTACATTTACGTTTTAGACATCTCTGACAAAATTATTATTAACAAAACAAGCATACATTTTTGTATAATTACATTATTATTTTCTCTAATAAAATATTAGAATTTCAACAATACTGCAGCCTTTATCGGATTAGAAACTAAATCAAATCATTAAATCAAAATTCATGCTGTTCCATAAACAATAAATTATAGGTTGAAAAGCATGGCTTGAGGCACAGTTCTGAAGAGATTTGAGTGACAGGAGGGAAGTAGAAGAGGAAGGGAGAGACTGGAGAGTGAGGTAGAAACTAAGGGAGAGACTGGAGAGTGAGGTAGAAACTAAGGGAGAGACTGGAGAGTGAGGTAGAAACTAAGGGCGAGACTGGAGAGTGAGGTAGAAACTAAGGGCGAGACTGGAGAGTGAGGTAGAAACTAAGGGCGAGACTGGAGAGTGAGGTAGAAGAGGAAGGGAGAGACTGGAGAGTGAGGTAGAAACTAAGGGAGAGAGGAAAGAGTGAGGTAGAAGAGGAAGGGAGAGAGGAAAGAGTGAGGTAGAAGAGGAAGGGAGAGAGGGAAGAGTGAGGTAGAAGGAGAGTGAGGTAGAGAGGACTGTCTGTGAGTCTGTCCTTAACCCTGACCATGTTTACTCTGGCTGAAGCAACCAGTCAATAACTCCAGACCAGGAGACTCTCTCCACATCTTCTGAGTGTTTTGTGGACACCGGACAAAGCAGCTGTTGCTACAGTCATATCCAATTAGCATCCAAATCAAGTCCACCTCCTCCCTATGAGGCAGGGTCAGGGCAGGTCAGACCAACTTAGGTCACGTCAACAACAACCCTGACTCATACTAAACAATGATGGGTGTGTGTGTCGGAGCCATTCAGAATAATGGCATGAAAAGTATGTGTTTGTGTTTGTGTGTGTGTGTGTGTGTGTTTGTGAGTCAGAAAACAAACCATTGGACGACTGGGACCATAGCACCTGATCACACACAGCCTAGGGAATACAAGCCAACACAGGACAGGAAACCAGCTTGGTCCTGCAATAGAGACTCCCATAGAGACGTTTATTTATAGTAGTTTCAATAAACTAATCATAATAGCAGGAAGTCAAGTCCACCCTGAGGCTGAGTGTTTTGGGTGGTGGAGAGCTTTAGAGTCTTGGCTAATGACAGACTTTTATATCACAGCAGGTAACACTGTGTATTTGGGGTGGTTTGGAGGTTTGTGTGTTATCTCTATTACCCAGCGTGGGAGACTGACGTACAGTATGCTACCTCTAGGGGGATGGGACAGGTAAGAGCTACTGCTTATGGGACTACTAGACTTATGCTTCCAGAATATGTTTGTTCCACGCCAAGTTAACAAAGCAGTCAACAATATCCCGTAGACGATTTCTGACAGCTCACCACAGGGACAGCAAGGCCATGTCTGAGCGAGAACAAGAACGGACGGAAGAGGATAGAGAAAGGAGTGGCAAGGAAAGGGAGAGCTAAGAGACTGGTGTGTGATTGAATGTCTTCCTGATCATCAGAGGCCTGTCTGACAGCTGAGAGCCGACTAGGAGGAGAGGAGGGAAGAGAGGAGAAAGGGATAGAGGGAGGGGAGGAGGAAAAGAGGGAGCCTCTCCTTCTCATCTCTCTCTCCCTCTCTCACTCACCCACACAGCTCCCTGATTACGCCATCCAGGCATGAATGAGGAGACTATTGATCTGTAAAGTTCTTTCCCCTGCCTCCAGAGCAGTCAACGTGTCAGTGTAGAGGTAAACTATAGATGACCTTGTTTTCCCTCTGTGGGATTCTGTTTGTTTACTTTATTATTTATTTTTAACTGTGCTTGGTGAAGTCTCACGGCGGACCAACAGGCAGAGAGAACGAGGGATGAGAGAGGATGAGAGGGAAGTAAAATAACATGCTAGCTGTCAGGGAGAGGAGTTGGTATCTTAAACCCCTGTGTGCGCATCATCACATCTTACAGAGACAGGATTCAGAAACAGGAGAATTCTCCACATGATGGAGAAAGATTCAGGAGGTGAGAAAGAAAAGTACAATACCACCGTCCCTGTCTTTGTCCCTGTCTTTGTCCCTGTCTTTATCTCTGTCTTTTTCCCTGTCTGTTTCTTTTCATTTTCTCTTTTCCACTGCTGTGTAGTATCATGTTTTTAGGGCTCTCAGGGGAGCAGAGGGAGAGATGGAGAGGGGGGGAGAAGGATAAAACGAGGAGGAGAGGGCGATGAGGAGGAGGCGGAGAGGGGGAGAAGTTGACATCTGGGCAGCTTGGTGAAGGAGAGGAGAGGAGCAGAGAGGAATGCAGCTCTCAATGTGAGGGGAATTGAAATGGCTCTGCTGGGTCTCTCCCAGAGTCTACCCTCCACCCCTCCACTCCTCCCTCCATCCATCTGGCCATCTGCCTTTCCCACTCTTCACTCATCCCTTTTTCTCACACCTCACTTTCCCCATTTGCTCCTCTCTATAGCTACTGTACCCCCCTAAGCCCATACTCATCAACCCCAACTCCAAACCCCTCTCTATAGCTACTGTACCCCACTAAGCCCATACTCATCAACCCCAACTCCAAACCCCTCTCTATAGCTACTGTACCCCCCTAAGCCCATACTCATCAACCCCAACTCCAAACCCCTCTCTATAGCTACTGTACCCCACTAAGCCCATACTCATCAACCCCAACTCCAAACCCCTATCTATAGCTACTGTACCCCACTAAGCCCATACTCATCAACCCCAACTCCAAACCCCTCTCTATAGCTACTGTACCCCCCTAAGCCCATACTCATCAACCCCAACTCCAAACCCCTCTCTATAGCTACTGTACCCCCCTAAGCCCATACTCATCAACCCCAACTCCAAACCCCTCTCTATAGCTACTGTACCCCCCTAAGCCCATACTCATCAACCCCAACTCCAAACCCCTCTCTATAGCTACTGTACCCCCCTAAGCCCATACTCATCAACCCCAACTCCAAACCCCTATCTATAGCTACTGTACCCCCCTAAGCCCATACTCATCAACCCCAACTCCAAACCCCTCTCTATAGCTACTGTACCCCCCTAAGCCCATACTCATCAACCCCAACTCCAAACCCCTATCTATAGCTACTGTACCCCCCCTAAGCCCATACTCATCAACCCCAACTCCAAACCCCTTACTATAGCTACTGTACCCCCCTAAGCCCATACTCATCAACCCCAACTCCAAACCCCTCTCTATAGCTACTGTACCCCACTAAGCCCATACTCATCAGCCCCAACTCCAAACCCCTCTCTTATTTTCTCTCATCACTTCTTTTCACTACTCCTTTTGAAATTTTACTTAACCTTTCTTTTACCAGGTAGGTCAATTAAAAACTCATTATTAATTATCGTCTCTCGGACACCCTGTATTCAAGCCCTCTCGACACTCGCCCTTGGCCTGCTAGGGTACACCTGCCCTAAGATTCTCTCACTTCCATCCCACAGACGCAAACTCTAACCCCAGGTCCCTCTCCCCCAGGCCCCCAGACAGTGTACTCTAACCCCACGGTCCCTCTCCCCCAGGCACCCAGACAGTGCACTCTGGCCCCAGGCTTTGATCTGGGCCTGTGGGGGATGGGATCTCCATTAGCCAGGGCAGCCCAGAGACAGATGAGGTGTGTGAGCCCGAACACAGCTGCTCCTGCGGTGCGGCACCACACACACACATGCGCACACACACGTGCACGAACACACACACACACACACACACACACGCAAACAAACACTCCCATAAATCGCCTCCCCTTCCCCCTCCCACCTCTCTCGCCCGGCGCTCAGCCCAGTGTTAAAAGCCAATCAGGAAAATTACATGCAAACTCCCAGGGACCCATTTTCACTTTCTTAACAAATCATTAGTCAACATTATGAGTTCCGACGTCTCCATAATACCAGGACCGTCTGTTCCACCAACCCAATGCCCCACCGCCTCCCCACCCTCTAACCCTCCCCTGTTCCAGCTATAGCTCCAGCTCTCCCTCCTCCCTGCTCCCTCTCTGCCTGCCCAAGGCCACTCTACACCAGCGCCTCAGTCCCCTGGACCTCCCCAGCGGTCAAAACAAAGAGATGAAAGTATTAGGTGTATTAGTATGTGCTGTATGGAGAGAATGAGTGAGAGAAAATAGAAAAAACAGGAGAGAAAGAGGGTTTAGGGAGAGAAAGAGGGAGAGAGTGGCTGTTGATGCTAGTCTGAGGCCTGACCAGTGACTACACGGGTTCAGTTGGTGTTGGAGTGAGATCCTGTGCACACATGAAGCAGGAAGTGTTTGTTTATGACAGCCTCTGTGTGGCCCATGTTACTACCAACTGGGTCCATACACAAACAGGTTCAGACCCATGCTGAGAACATTGTAAAGATAATACTACAATCCCCTATAGAGGTCTGCCCATACTAAATAAATGCTCTCCCCTGTAGACCTCTGCACATAATACAAACAGCTCTCCCTTACAGGCCTATACACCACTGTCATGACATAACACATTCACAGAAGTGGATGAACACCTTCTATGAGGCTATTTCAATATCAGGTTGATATCTTGAGAGATTCAATATGTGGTTTATATCTTTTATAGATCCAGTAACATCTTGCACCTTGGTTGGACGGCGAGGTAGAGATAGTATCAGTAATATTGTAATAGGCCAGCAGAGGGGTGAACGTGTGACAGAGGTAGAGACAGTATCAGTAATATTGTAATAGGCCAGCAGAGGGGTGAACGTGTGACAGAGGTAGAGACAGTATCAGTAATATTGTAATAGGCCAGCAGAGGGGTGAACGTGTGACAGAGGTAGAGACAGTATCAGTAATATTGTAATAGGCCAGCAGAGGGGTGAACGTGTGACAGAGGTAGAGACAGTATCAGTAATATTGTAATAGGCCAGCAGAGGGGTGAACGTGTGACAGAGGTAGAGACAGTATCAGTAATATTGTAATAGGCCAGCAGAGGGGTGAACGTGTGACAGAGGTAGAGACAGTATCAGTAATATTGTAATAGGCCAGCAGAGGGGTGAACGTGTGACAGAGGTAGAGACAGTATCAGTAATATTGTAAAGGCCAGCAGAGGGGGGAGCGTGTGACAGAGGTACATTACATTTACGTCATTTAGCAGACGCTCTTATCCAGAGCGACTTACAGTTAGTGCATACATAATTTTTTGTATTATTTTTTTTCACACTGGCCCCCCGTGGGAATCGAACCCACAACCCTGGCGTTGCAAACACCATGCTCTACCAACTGAGCTACCTCCCTGCCGGCCATTCCCTCCCCTACCCTGGACGACGCTGGGCCAATTGTGCGCCGCCCCATTGGTCTCCCGGTTGCGGCCGGCTACAGCAGAGCCTGGAGAGACAGTATCAGTAATATTGTAATAGGCCAGCAGAGCGGGGAGCGTGTGACAGAGAGCGAGAGAAAGAAAAACTAAAAGCGAGGGAGGTATAAACGAGTCCCAGGGTGGAGGACAGTGTTTCCTGTCGCTGCTGTCACTAATGAGCAGGATGTGCCGTGACCCATAATGCCTTGGGAGATGCGTGGGGAACGGATATGACTGGTGTCCATCCATATTGAGCCAGGTGCGTGGGAGAGGAGCAGAGAAGAGCAGTTGTAAGTTAGGGGGGCAGGTGCGTGGGAGAGGAGCAGAGAAGAGCAGTTGTAAGTTAGGGGGGCAGGTGCGTGGGAGAGGAGCAGAGAAGAGCAGTTGTAAGTTAGGGGGGCAGGTGCGTGGGTGTTGAATGGATGAGAAAGACGTCACCTTGTCTAACACTTTAATACAACTGAGTACAGCTAGATGTTAAATTAAGATCTGTATAGTACTAGGATGAGATGTTGGCTGCCAGGGTTGGATTCAGGGGTCAGAGGTCAGGGTTGAGAGATTGAGGGTTAAATGTAGATGTGTATAGTACCGGGATGAGGTGTTGGCTGTGATCTTCAGGCTCCCAGGGTTGCGTATGAGTTTATCCAGGATGCTGACGATCTGTTCAAACTTGGGTCTGTTGTTCCTCTCCTTCTGCCAGCAGTCCAACATCAGCTGGTACAGAGCTGCAGGACAATCCATAGGAGGAGGCAGTCTGTAGCCCTCATCCACCGCTTTGATCACCTGGAGGGAAAGAAAGAAAGAAAGAAAGAAAGAAAGAAAGAAAGAAAGAAAGAAAGAAAGAAAGAAAGAAAGAAAGAAAGAAAGAAAGAAAGAAAGAAAGAAAGAAAGAAAGAAAGAAAGAAAGAAAGAAAGAAAGAAAGAAAGACAGAGGGAGATAGGGGTGATAATTAGATGTGCAGCAGGACAGTCCATAGGAGGAGACAGTAAAGTGTGTCTGTGGGTGGTAGATATATAGAGGAGAGCTGGCAGTGCTGAATAGAAGCTCTCCCTCTCTCCCTCTCTCCCTCTCAGGTGACAATGCTGTATTTCTGTGTGTGTGTATATGTATTTCTGGTCCAGGCCATCAGACCTTCAGGCTTCAGACTCATTCTTCCACCTGACCCCTCTACGCATAATTTCCTCTCTCAGCAGGAAGTTCATTAGGTCACCCTGGCGACGGTTGCATACTCACGTCCTGATTGGACATCTCCCAGTAAGGCCGCTCCCCGTATGACATCACTTCCCAGAGCACGATACCGTAGCTCCAGGCATCGCTGGCCGAGGTGAACTTCCTGTAGGAGATGGCCTCTGGAGCTGTCCACCTGATAGGGATCTTACCTCCCTGAGAGAGAGAGAGAGACTTTTAATTTTTGTCTGTCTTTAATGATACATTCTCATTTCATTAAAACCTCACCCCCCCCCCCCTTAAAAAAATCCTGTACTGCATACTCACCCTGCCCTCTACCCCACGATACAAAACAACACCACACACAAATTCCACCCTAAGGCGCGCAGAGACCATCCCATTAAATAATAGTAAAAGGTCTGTTATCCCACCACCTTTGACCCTGTTCCTCCTTGTTAGCCAAATAGCAAACTTTGCATGAGCAAACAGAAAATTTAACAACACACATTTGGCCTTCTCCTTATTTGAATACCTGTACCCCATTATAAACATCCCGACAGTAAACTCCACCCCCAATGGCATTAATGTAGCTCAGTTGGCCTCCTGTAGCTCAGTTGATAGAGCATGGCGCTTGCAACGCCAGGGTTGTGGGTTCGATTCCCACGGGGGGCCAGTATGAAAAATGTATGCACTCACTAACTGTAAGTCTGTCACGTTCGTTGAATGACGGGACAGACCAAGGCGTAGCGTAATATGCGTACATGTTTATTAAACTATTAAACACCACGACAAAACAATAACCGAAATGAAACGTGAAGTCCAAGGTAGAACACACAACATACCTTACACGGAACAAAATCCCACAACCCACTAGTGCCAATAGGCTGCCTAAGTATGGTCCCCAATCAGAGACAACGAGCGACAGCTGCCTCTGATTGGGAACCACACCGGCCAACATAGAACTAGACATACTAGATCCTAAACATAGACAAACGCACAACAAAGAATATACACACCTTAAGCGTCCCCTGAGTCAGGGCGTGACAAAGTCGCTCTGGATAAGAGCGTCTGCTAAATGACTAAAATGTAAATGTAATTAACCTGGTGCACACAGAAAACACATGAATCACAGTTTCACTCATGACACAGAAAGGACACCCCTGTCCGACTCCCAGGTCAACCCGTGCCAACCAGCTGTTTGTGGCCAGGGCTCCATGTAGAACCCTCCACTGGAGGTCCCCTGACCTCTTTGGTACTGGGAGTTTGTAGAGACCCCTCCATGTAAAACCCACCATACTCTCCGCCCCACATACCCCCTGCCACTGATGAGCCTTCACTCCTGTTAGGCTCCTAATGTTCGTTACCTTAATGCAGAGGTTGCAGAGGGCTATACCTCCCACCCCCTCAAACTCCCCCAGGCTCGGAGTGTTAAAATCTAACAAGTCCTCCAGACCCCCTTGCCAGTCCCGTCTCTGGCGGAAACATTGGTGGCCCCTCCCCTTTGACTGCTCAAACACCCCCCTTCCCGGCTCAGACAGTGCCTCCTGGACTTCCCCCAGGAATCTCTCCAGCAGCCTAAGAGATGTTAGTCCTGTTTGCTGTGCCAGGACTTCTGGGGTTTTCTACCCCTCCTCTCCCAGCAGTCACAGGTCACCCAGCCTTAGTAAACCCGCTGCCATCAGTCGCCTCTGCAGGGTGGCCAACTGAACCGATCTCAAAAGGATGGCTGAGTTGTGGAAGATAGGCTCCTCCCACACCCACAGCCCAGGCTCCACACCCCCTTCTCGTGTGGGCCTTAGCAGCTGCCAGGCCCTCAGTACCGCAGAGTCAGAGAGAACTGCTGTACTCAGCCTCTCCAGCCTCATGAGGAATAGCTGCCGGTCCAACCCTAATCCGCCAGCTCTCCTCAGCAGCGCGCATGCTGGTTCCCTCCAGCCGACATCAGTATGGTACAGCAGTCTCTGCACCGCCTCAAGGAATGCAACCACCCTGCTCTCCAGTTCCACCAGGCCTTGTCCTCCTTCATGTACGGACATATACACCTCAGCCAGTGATGGCCCGACCAGAAAAAATCTACCAGCTTGCGTTGCAGGTCTGCGAGCAGCCCTGCGGGGGGGTTGAGGACAGCCAGTTTATGCCACAGGGAAGATGCCACCAGGTTGTTGATTATCAGCACCCTCCCTCTATATGACACTTGGGACAGGAGCCACCTCCACCTGGCCAGTCTTGACACCACTGCCTGTGACAGCCCCTTCCAGTTCTTCCTGACCCACCTCTCCGAGCACAGATACACCCCCAAAATGTTAAGCCCTTCACAACCCCACTGCAAACCCCCTGGAAGCAGAGGGGGGGCCCTATCCCTCCATGCCCCACATAACAGAGCTTTGCTCTTGCTCCAGTTCACCTTAGCTGACAAAGCTCCCTCGTACACCTTCAGACTAGTCTCTAGTGCCTGCATATCCTGCCCATCCCTGACCATCACAGAAACATCATCAGCATACGCCGACACTGCTATGCCTGTCAACACACCCATGCCTGTCCAACAGACTCCCTGCAGTCTCCTGCGTAGCAGGCCCAAAAAAGGCTCAATGGCTAGTGTATATAACTGCCCCGATAGAGGGCATCCTTGTGTCCCGGTACACAATACAGTGGCTTGCAAAAGTATCCACCCCCCTTGGCATTTTTCCTATTTTGTTGTCATATAACCTGGAATTAAAATTGATTTTTGGGGGGTTTGTATCATTTGATTTACACAACATGCCTATGTGGGAAAAGTCCACAGAGAGATGAACCTGGAGAAGAGTCCCATAAGCAAGCTGGTCCTGGGGCTCTGTTCACAAATCAAACAGACCCCACAGAGCCCCAAGGACAGCAACCCAATTAGACCCAACCAAATCATGAGAAAACAAAAATATAATTACTTGACACATTGGAAAGAGTTTATAAAAAAACAGAGCAAACTAAAATGCTATTTGGCACTAAACAGAGACTACACAGTCGCAGAATACCTGACCACCGTGACTGACCCAAAATTAAGGAAATCTTTGACTATGCACAGACTCAGTGAGCATAGCCTTGCTATTGAGAAAGCTCTCAAAGAGAAGACAGGCTATGTGCACACTGCCCACAAAATGAGGTGGAAACTGAGCTGCATTTCCTAACTTCCTGCCAAATGTATGACCATATTAGAGACACATACTTCCCTCAGATTACACAGACCCACAAAGAATTTGAAAACAAATCCAATTTGGATAAACTCCCATATCTATTGGATGAAATACCACAGTTTGCCATCACAGCAGCAATATTTGTGACCTGTTGCCACAAGAAAAGGGCAACCAGTGAAGAACAAACACCATTGTAAATACAACCCATATTTATGTTTATTTATTTTCCTTTTTGTACTTTAACTATTTGCACATCATTACAACACTGTATATATACATAATGACACTTGAAATGTCTTTATTCTTTTTGAACTTTTGTGAGTGTAATGTTTACTGTTAATTTTTTTATTGTTTCATTCACTTTTGTTTATAATCTATTTCACTTGCTCTGGCAATGTAAACACATGTTTCCCATGCCAATAAAGCCCCTTAAATTGAAATTGAAATTAATTGAAATTGAATTGAGAGAGAGAGGGAGAGAGCGAGAGAGAGAAATCACAACGAAAGTATTTCAACACCCATGCCCAGTCATCACATTTCAATTTATTCACAAACTCCTCCTCTAGTTAAAGCGATATGTATGTATGCATATGTGTTCACCCCCTTTGCTATGAAGCCCCTAAATAAGATCTGGTGCAACCAATTACCTTCAGAAGTCACATAATTAGTTAAATAAAGTCCACCTGTGTGCAATCTAAGTGTCACATGATCTCAGTATATATACACCTGTTCTGAAAGGCCCCAGAGTCTGCAACACCACTAAGCAAGGGGCACCACCAAGCAAGTGGCACCATGAAGACCAAGGAGTTCTCCAAACAGGTCAGGGACAAAGTTGTGGAGAGGAGAAGTACAGATCAGGGATGGGTTATAAAATAATATCAGAAACTTTGAACATCCCACAGAGCACCATTAAATCCATTATAAAAAATGGAAAGAATATGGCACCACAAAAAACCTGCCAAGAGAGGGCCGCCCACCAAAACTCACAGACCAGGCAAGGAGGGCATTAATCAGAGAGGCAACAAAGAGACCAAAAATAACCCTGAAGGAGCTGCAAAGCTCCACAGCGGAGATTGGAGTATATGTCAATAGGACCACTTTAAGCCGTACACTTCACAGAGCTGGGCTTTACGGAAGAGTGGCCAGAAAAAAAAGCCATTGCTTAAAGAAAAAAAAAAAAAAAAACACGTTTGGTGTTCACCCAAAGGCATGTGGGAGACTCCCCAAACATATGGAAGAAGGTAATCTGGTCAGATGATGTTTTTCATTGGCAGGGACTGGGAAACTGGTCAGAATTGAAGGAATGATAGATGGCGCTAAATACAGGGACATTTTTGAGGGAAACCTGTTTCAGTCTTCCAGAGATTTGAGACTGGGACGGAGGTTCACCTTCCAGCAGGACAATGACCCTAAGCATACTGCTAAAGCAACACTTGAGTGGTTTAAGGGGTAACATGTAAATGTCTTGGAATGGCCTAGTCAAAGCCCAGACCTCAATCGAATTGAGAATCTGTGATATGACTTAAAGATTGTTGTACACCAGCGGAACCCATCCAACTTGAAGGAGCTGGAGCAGTTTTGCCTTGAAGAATGGGCAAAAATCCCAGTGGCTAGATGTGCCAAGCTTATAGAGACATACCCCAAGATACTTGCAGATGTAATTGCTGCACAAGGTTATGCACGCTAAAGTGTTCTGTTTTTTTGTCTTATTTCTTGTTTGTTTCACAAAAAAAATGTATTTTGTATCTTCAAAGTGGTAGGCATGTTGTGTAAATCAAATGACACAAACCCCCAAAAAATCTATTTTAATTCCAGGTTGTAAGGCAACAAAATAGGAAAAATGCCAAGGGGGTGAATACATTCGCAACTGTAGAGAGAGGAGGAAAGAGAGGTAGAGAGGGAGCCTCCGGGGGCTGCTGGACTTACTCAAGGCTTAGCCTGCATCAGGCCAACAAAGGAGAGGAAAAGAAAAGAGCGGAGAAAAGAGCAGAGGAGCCAACACTAACGGACCTCCTGGCCAAGTCACACAACTCCTGGCCAGCTCTCTTTAAACACACAGCCCTCAGAAAACAAACCACTTCTGCCCTCACTCACACACACGCAGGAGCACACACACATGCACACACACACACATGCAAGCACGCAAACACACACACAAGAATGCACACACACACACAAATAAACAAACTACTTCTGCTCCCTTGAATCCCTGGTGAGTGTACATGAACACAGCCAGCCTCATGAGAAGTAGGATTATACCTATAATGACAGTAGAGTATGACACCAGTGAGACAGTGACAGACAGGAGGGGGCTCACGGAAGAGCAGAGTGGTCTGACAGAAGAGGGAGGGAGAGAGAACGTCCTGCTGGGTCTGATACATTAATGTGGCTGTAGAGTGGATGGGAACTCAGCTCTATTACTAGTGACACACTAGGGGAAGTCTATTAGCATATTTTAGGGAGTGAGTTTATGGGAGTGAAGTAATAGCTCTGTGAGTGTTTATTTAACATGGGGGTCTGAAGCAGTTATTACACAGAGTTTAGAGCCCTGCATACTAATGTTAGGCCACAAGGTGACCACACACACACACACAGTATGTTATATAGATGGTGATAGGTTGGATAAACTAGGCTCAGTCAAAGGCCTCTTGATGTTGCTTATCTGGTATGTTTGTCATTCCTTTCCCATGATCCTTCAGGAGAACACAAACAGGCCCGTTGTGAATTTATGTTAGCGTTATCTCGGCCAGCTTTTATTTATGTACTGGCTACCTCGCTCTGCACTGCTGCAAGGCCAGAAGTTTGTGTATGTGTGTGTGTGTGTGTGTGTGTGTTTGTGTGTGTGTGTGTGTGTGTGTGTGTGTGTGTGTGTGTGTGTGTGACATATGAGGTGATTTGTCTCATGGACAGCATGTATTCACTGCGAGGGCTGGCGAGGGGGAGATAGATCGACAGAAAGAAGGGAGTGAGAGATAGAGAGAGGGAGACAATGCCCTTCTGTGTAAACCTGAGACAGAGGTCAGTCAGCTCAGCTATGTCTGACAGTGATAACATTTCTCTCTGTCCACAGCAACGTGTCCACTCACTATTAGGCACCAGAGTTATGGACAGAGGTGGTTCTTACAAGGCACACTCCCACCCCATAGTATCATGCCTCTGTCAGAAACAACTATTACACCCATCTGATGTCATTGATAAACCCGACCACCATGTCTTACCCGTGTGGTGTAAGCAGCCTCGGGGTCGTCCTCCAGGACTCTGGACAGGCCGAAGTCAGACACCTTACACACCAGGTTGCTGTTCACCAGGATGTTACGGGCGGCCAGGTCTCTGTGGACGTAGCCCATGTCAGACAGGTACTTCATGCCTGACACGATGCCACGCAGCATGCCCACCAACTGGATACCAGTAAACTGGGCATCGTGTTTCTACAAGGGGGAGGCAGAGGAGGAAGAGGGGGTGAAAAGAGAGGAGGGAGAGAGGATGGAGAGGGAGAGAAAGAGAGCAAAAGAGAGAGAAAGAGAGAGACAGAGAGAGACAGAGATAGAATCAGTCACAGGTGGAATGTCATACCTCTAAAAACAGATGTGACTGGGTTGAAAAACAGAATGAATATGACCTTTCTGTTTTAAAAAACTACAGCGGAACATTCATATTACAATATCCAAACCAATTACATTAACCTTTTAGATCACCTCTGACATTAACTTGCCCATTTCAAGGTGAATTGTACAATCCTCATCTCACAACCAAATAGGCTTGACAACACCATGCCATAGTCTTTGACCAAATAGATGGTGTTTTCCAGGGCACTATATAAAGGCCAGACTACCTGGTAGAGACAGGCGGAGTCGGATCAAAGCTGCTACAGTCATATAGTCATAACACAAACATGAGGTACAGTAATGTGATGTGGAGGAGCAGGATGACTGTGTGTGTGTGTGTGTGTGTGTGTGTGTGTGTGTGTGTGTGTGTGTGTGTGTGTGTGTGTGTGTGTGTGTGTGTGTGTTGTATGACAGTTCCCAGTGATAAAAGCCAGGCCACTCTACAACCAGAGGAAATAGCTGGAGAAGGTTGCAATTACTCCATTTTCAATCTGAAGCGATGCTGTGCAGACACACAGGCACATGTGGAAAACTGCTAAAACGGGACCTTCACACACACACACACACACACTCACACACACTCCTGTCTGGTCATGTTGATTTAATGTTGTTCTGACGTTGGTTTGATGTTTTGCTTCGGCTAATTTCAGTAAGCCAGAGTTTCTGGTTAGCTAAAGTGGTATGCATGGGATAACTCCATAGGCCGGTGTGGAAAGCATGAAGGTAATGTGAAGATAACTAATTTAGTTGTGTAATATTTTAGACTCACTTTCAGAAAGCTGTCCAAGGATCCATTCTCCATGTATTCAGTCACTATCATCACAGGTTTACCTGGAGAGAAGAGAGAAACTAACAGGTTAGAGAATTATTCAGATTTGGCAAAACACATGCACGCACACACACCACACACACACACACACACACACACACACACACACACACAGGGATCAGCAGTGCTTCCTCCAGGCAGGATGAAAGGGACCATGCAGGGCTGAGTGTACAGGTCCTCTGGGTCACCTGTCAGAGTGGGACATCTTTATTCCAGCATCAGCAGAGAGTTACTATAAATCGGTAGTGTTATCATCTGGTCCTGGTTCACTAGACTAGAGCAGACCAGACCAGAGCAGACCAGACCAGAGCAGACCAGACCAGAGCCGATCAGAGCTGACCAGAGCAGACCAGACCAGAGCAGACCAGACCAGAGCCGATCAGGTTTAGAACAGATAGAAATGAGGGGGAAAATGACTTTAAATCAGCTGTAGTCAAATGAACAGCACTGGTGTTACGACAGGTTTGTGTCAGATGGATATGTGTTCTCCCTCTTCACCCTTTCATCCCTCACTCCCTCGCTCTCTCTTTTGCTTTGTCTCTCTCTATCTATCGCTCTCCCGCACCCTCCCCATCCCTCTCGCCATCTCCCTCCATCCCCCTCTCCCTCTCTCTGTCACGCACGTTGTAAATGTATCAAAGTAAAACTCCACATCTGGCAACGCAGAACTCATTTTCAGATCTGTCAGAGGAAGGGGATGATGGAACCTGCTGTAAAAAGAAACACATTTATAACCCTTGTTGGAAAAATAAACTTCAATTAATAAAACTGGCTCCCTCACAAACTGCTTGCAATTTAATGGTGAGTAAAACAAGACTAGGTTTGGTCAGAGCAGTGGTTGAACCTTACCACAACCAGCACCTTTCATTTTCTACTGCTTGAGTACCAGCACATCTTATAGAATACAGTCTCATAAATTACAAACCCTGGAACTGTAAAATTAAAGTGAGTGCAGACACCTTTTTCATTACATCTCAAGCACTAGGTCTAGCTTTTACAGTGTAGTGATAAGGGGCTGACTAACTGACAGTCCAACCTGTAACTCGTCTAGACAGTAACAGCACCTTCCATTCACATAAGAAAGACTGCTGGTCCAAACACAGTCGTAGACATCGTTAAACCACCCCCTCTAAAAGACCCTGATGGATTGGCCCAACACCCCCCTCTATAGAAAGTCGTGATGGATTGGCCCATTCACCTCACAGGACAGCCTTTATAGTTTCAGATAAAACAGATTCCCTAAACCTCCTCCGCTTTTTATCCTCTCCTCTGCTCCCCTCTCTGTGTGTGTGTGTGCGCACGTGTGTCTGTGTCAGTGCTTCCGTTAGGAAAATGTGGCTCCGGACATTTGACCGGCAGCATTTTAATTTACCAGACATTTGAGAAATTGACCGGACCCATATACATTGGGTACGTAACCTGATTAGGGCGTCCACCCACGGTGCTCAGAATGACAGAAATCTCATTTTGATTACGGAAATTCATATTAACAGAACATGCAAGTTGAGGATGCAACAATGTGCAGTCCTTCTTACCGAATTCTGATGCGCACTTTGAAGATGTTAGAATAATTGTCCACATTTACTTTCCTCAGCCAACAAGACGAGTAATGAACAGCAGAATTCCTAGCCTATACCAATCTACTATCCCCCATAGTAGAAAAGTTTACCTATTCTATTGGTCAGCTTGTCGAGAAAGAAATAGCCTATTCCAAACAGACTCTGGGACAGTTGTGGGACGATGGATCCCAAATTCATACAACCAGTAGGCCTAGGCTACATAATTTTTTTTCAAAAGCAATGAGTCTGATGCAACAGATCAGAACATTTAGCTGAAAATGTTGATAAACTATTATTTCTTCACATTATAAGGGCAGCAATACGCACAAGGCAGCAGGCTATGCGTGAATGTTCGTTACGTAATGCAATTAGAATAAAACACTGTTGTCAAAAGCTCACCGCACATGTGAGCGGTTTCATGTGACAGAGATGAAAATATCCGTTAGAAATGTAGAAAGACGGGAGATCTAATATGCAACAACTAGTATGGGTTGCTAATATGACTAGGATTATGCCTTTGGCTACTGGACAATGAAAGAAAGTTGATATAAAATAATTGCTTCCACGGATATGGTCTGATTTTGGCATGGCTACTTTGAAGCAAGGTAAGACATGCCTCATAATATGTAGTAAAACGTTAATTTGCTGTTTGAGATGCTGTCTGGCTCAAAGGCTCTGTATCTGTCTGTACACTTGTGATAAATAAGATATATAATGAATATACTGTACACACGCGCCAATTTAATTCCACTAAATTATGCCATAGACCGATAAGCATGACCAGTCAAATGTACAGTGGGGATAAAAAAGTATTTAGTCAGCCACCAATTGTGCAAGTTCTCCCACTTAAAAAGATGAGAGAGGACTATAATTTTCATCATAGGTACACGTCAACTATGACAGACAAAATTAGGGAAAAAAATCCAGAAAATCACATTGTAGGATTTTTAATGAATTTATTTGCAAATTATGGTGGAAAATAAGTATTTGGTCAATAACAAAAGTTTCTCAATACTTTGTTATATACCCTTTGTTTTCTGTAAGTCTTCACAAGGTTTTCACACACTGTTGCTGGTATTTTGGCCCATTCCTCCATGCAGATCTCCTCTAGAGCAGTGATGTTTTGGGGCTGTCGCTGGGCGACACGGACTTTCAACTCCCTCCAAAGATTTTCTATGGGGTTGAGATCTGGAGACTGGCTAGGCCACTCCAGGACCTTGAAATGCTTCTTACGAAGCCACTCCTTCATTGCCCGGGCGGTGTGTTTGGGATCATTGTCATGCTGAAAGACCCAGCCACGTTTCATCTTCAATGCCCTTGCTGATGGAAGGAGGTTTTCACTCAAAATCTCACGATACATGGCCCCATTCATTCTTTCCTTTACACGGATCAGTCGTCCTGGTCCCTTTGCAGAAAAACAGCCCCAAAGCATGATGTTTCCACCCCCATGCTTCACAGTAGGTATGGTGTTCTTTGGATGCAACTCAGCATTCTTTGTCCTCCAAACACGACGAGTTGAGTTTTTACCAAAAAGTTATATTTTGGTTTCATCTGACCATATGACATTCTCCCAATCAACTTCTGGATCATCCAAATGCACTCTAGCAATCTTCAGACGGGCCTGGACATGTACTGGCTTAAGCAGGGGGACACGTCTGGCACTGCAGGATTTGAGTCCCTGGCGGCGTAGTGTGTTACTGATGGTAGGCTTTGTTACTTTGGTCCCAGCTCTCTGCAGGACATTCACTAGGTCCCCCCGTGTGGTTCTGGGATTTTTGCTCACCATTCTTGTGATCATTTTGACGCCACGGGGTGAGATCTTGCGTGGAGCCACAGATCGAGGGAGATTATCAGTGGTCTTGTATGTCTTCCATTTCCTAATAATTGCTCCCACAGTTGATTTCTTCAAACCAAGCTGCTTACCTATTGCAGATTCAGTCTTCCCAGCCTGGTGCAGGTCTACAATTTTGTTTCTGGTGTCCTTTGACAGCTCTTTGGTCTTGGCCATAGTGGAGTTTGGAGTGTGACTGTTTGAGGTTGTGGACAGGTGTCTTTTATACTGATAACAAGTTCAAACAGGTGCCATTAATACAGGTAACGAGTGGAGGACAGAGGAGCCTCTTAAAGAAGAAGTTACAGGTCTGTGAAAGCCAGAAATCTTGCTTGTTTGTAGGTGACCAAATACTTATTTTCCACCATAATTTGCAAATAAATTCATTAAAAATCCTACAATGTGATTTTCTGGACTTTTTTTCTCAATATGTCTGTCATAGTTGACGTGTACCTATGATGAAAATTACAGGCCTCTCTCATCTTTTTAAGTGGGAGAACATGCACAATTGGTGGCTGACTAAATACTTTTTTCCCCCACTGTATTTACATCGACTGGTATTTCTATTAATGAATAGGCTAAAAAGCTTTATTTCGCAATGGGATTTTTTCTTCTTCTCCCTTACAATTGGCCAGTGGCAATTTTTTTATCGCCCAAAAGCTGGCTATTACCGGCTAATGGAAACCCTGGTGTCTTTGTGCGTACTGTATGTGCATGCAATGCATGCGTATGTGTGTGTGTGTGTGTGTGTGTGTGTGTGCGGTGCAGCCAAAAGCAGCAGCAAGCCTAATGAGGTGTGAAAGTCTCTGGATTATTAAGAATGAACAGGACTGGGTTAATAAATCACCCTAGAGCACAGACAGGATCTAAGAGCCTGCTCTCAATCATAGAGTACCCCTCCAACACGCAGACACACACACACACACACACACGTTACTATGTTTTCCCATCATTCTATCCTAAAAACAGAAAGAAACAGAAAGAAACATTTGCAATTAACTCTGGCATTATTCACCATCAGGACTTTAATAGTCAGAGTGATGGAATATTTATTAGACAAATAGAATAATGATGAGACATTCCTCTCCAGATTATATTTACAGCCAGATGAATGGGAAACTGAGTGGGTTTTCACTGACTTTGCTGAGTAACTGGTCCTGTCATAATGCTGAGAGACATCAGTTTTCACACAGCACAGTGGCTTTATCTAAACTGTCAACTAGAATACACAGGATTTCCTTTTCTAGCTTTTAGTCTGTTTTTCAGGAGAACTTAGATTCCATGGCCAAAAACAATTTAGAGAAAATATGTGCAAGAACCATATCATAAGCATTATGGATATTAAGAACTTCAGTAGAACTTCTTCTAGGCAACCAAGTAAACTTTTTTTTTTTTTTTTTACATATCATTAAATATATCGTATAATAGGGCTGCATAATTAATCTAATTCACATTGAAATCCCAATATTGACATGTGCAATATCCATATCACAGAGATCTACACTGAATGTACAAAACATTAGGAACACCTTCCTAATTTTGAGTTTGTACCCCCTTTTGCCCTCAGAACAGTCTCAATTCGTCGGGACATGGACTCTACAAGGTGTCGAAAGCATTCCACAGGGATGCTGGCCCATGCTGACTCCAATGTTTCCCACAGTTGAGTCAAGTTGGCTGGATGTCCTTTGGGTGGTGGACCATTCTTGATACACACAAGAAACTGTTAAGCGTGAAAAACCCTGCAGCGTTACTGTTCTTGACACACTCAAACTGGTGCGCCTGGCACCTACTACCATACCCCGTTCAAAAGCACATACATATTTTGTCTTGCCCATTCACCCTCTGAATGGCACACATACACAATCCATGTCTCAATTGTCACAAGGCTTAAAAATCATTTTACTCCCCTTCATCTACACTGTTTGAAGTTGATTTAACAAGTGACCTCAACAAGGGATTATTGCTTTCACCTGGATTCACCTGGTCAGTCTATGTCATGAAAAGAGCAGGTGTTCCTAATGTTTTGTACACTCAGTATATATCGCATGCAATTTTTTGAATTGCCACTGAGTGTAACGTCCATTTTTATAGTTTACTCCGTTTGTCGTCTCTCCATTTGTCGTCTCTCTCCCTCTCTACTCTTGCAGCTGTTCAAATGCAGTCAACGGATTGTTCCAAAGAAGAACGATGCTGCTTTCCACGTTGCTTTTAAATCATTATATTTCTATTTTCACAGTTCAGTGTTTTGTATATCACAAGTCAATTCGCATTCACAATATTTGGTTAAAAAAAACGCTATTCGATTTTTGGCCCATAGCGTCCAGCCCTATCGTATAATTATTTTCAACTACAGTATATCATGATTCAGAATTCCGTGGCTGGGCTACAACTGGATATGAAACATTATTAAAACAGATCTGTTCTGGCCTGCTGGTCAAGTTGACCAGAGCTGGCTAACCTCTGTAAAGTTTTACTGTGAGTTTTACAAGCCTGCTTGTTCCTTTAAACTGATCAGTTCATCTGCTGTAGAGCGATCAGAGGGAGATATTTTATAGGTTTAACTCTTCAGTATAACGACATGGCCAAAATTGCAGTATAATGTGTGTGTGTGTGTGTGTGTGTGTGTGTGTGTGTGTGTGTGTACGTACGTGCATGCACCAGGCCAGAGTGAGTTAACAGGCGGAGAGCGCTGTGATGTGGAGACTGACTCTGATTGTGGACCAGAGGTCAAAGTAATTATTTCACAGTTTTTCAAGTAATTACCTTTAAGAGGCTGAGAATGTGTGAGTGTGTGAGAATAGCTGTGTTAAGGAGCCTCAGGAGGGAGGGTGAGATTCAAGCCAATAGAACTCAATAAAAATGGCTTCTCTTGTAAAGGTGTTGGCCAGTTTCATAGCATTGTTCAGTGTATAACTAACAACACATTCTGTCCAAGGTTGTTTTCTGGGCAGGATTCTTTAGGCTCCCTCTGGCCAGGCATAGCATACTTCATACATACATAAATGTCACGCCAATATTTAATGAGTGATATGTTTTTTTTTTCTCTCATTTTGATTGTATAGTAAGATATGGTCTGTACGTACTCCTGGTGACCACTCCCTCCAGCCTGATGATATTTGGATGGTCAAACTGTCCCATGATTGACGCCTCGGACAGGAAGTCCCGCCTCTGTTTGTCGGTGTATCCTGCCTTCAGCGTCTTGATTGCCACACAGATCTCCTTCTTACTGGGCAGACGCAGACGACCGCTGCACACCTCCCCAAACTCACCTAAAAAACACACACACAGAGGGTTAATAACACACACGCACTGACACCAAGGACCTGAGGCTACGATCTATTATTGATGACTTTCAATCAGAATAACTGTTATCATTTATTTCATTTGGACTACACCAGTCAGAAATTCTTGCCTAATTTCATAACCACACAAATTAGTCCATTATAAGCATGTGCAGTCATATGTATTTCTTGGAAACCATTTCCCTCATTGAGATAACAATGACAAATTGAAGCTTGACTACATTGGCCACAGTCTATAAATGCCCCTTACATTTATATTTTAGTCATTTAGCAGACGCTCTTATCCAGAGCGACTTACAGTAAGTGAGTGCATACATTTTTTCATACTGGCCCCCCGTAGGAATCGGACCCACAACCCTGGCGTTGCAAGCACCATGCTCTACCAACTGAGCTACACAGGAGCTACCGTTCTCCTTTCCATATCATATAAAGCACTATGACACTCATCAGAGCTGACCAATTATCATTCCAGCATAGTGAGGACATATAATGTCACACCCTGATCTGTTTCACCTGTCTGATTGTCTCCACCCCCTCCAGGTGTCGCCCATCTTCCCCATTATCCCCAGTGTATTTATACCTGTGTTCTCTGTTTGTCTGTTGCCAGTTCGTTTTGTTTCGTCAAGCCTACCAGCGGTTTTCCCCTTGCACCGGTCTTTTTCAAGTTCCTGTTTTCTAGTTTTCCCGGTTTTGACCATTCTGCCTGCCCTGACCCTGAGCCTGCCTGCTGTTCTGTACCTTTTGGACTCTGATCTGGATTACTGACCTCTGCCTGCCCTTGACCTGTCCTTTGCCTGCCCCCCGTTTTTGTAATAAACTTTTGTTACTTCAACACTGTCTGCATCTGGGTCTTCTCCTGAAACGTGACATATACAGTATCATTCCAGTATAGTGAGGACATATACAGTATCACTCCAGCATAGTGAGGACATATACAGTATCATTCCAGCATAGTGAGGACATATACAGTATCATTCCAGCATAGTGAGGACATATACAGTATCATTCCAGCATAGTGAGGACATATACAGTATCATTCCAGCATAGTGAGGACATACACAGTATCATTCCAGCATAGTGAGGACATATACAGTATCATTCCAGCATAGTGAGGACATATACAGTATCATTCCAGCATAGTGAGGACATACACAGTATCATTCCAGCATAGTGAGGACATATACAGTATCATTCCAGCATAGTGAGGACATATTCAGTATCATTCCAGCATAGTGAGGACATATACAGTATCATTCCAGCATAGTGAGGACATATACAGTATCATTCCAGCATAGTGAGGACATATACAGTATGATCCAGCTGTACTATCCCTCTGAGGTATGGAGCCTCTCTGGTGGATAGTTTCTCTGGTGGATAGGATCAAAGAACACAAAAGCTCTTTGCAGCAATTCGACAATGAAGGGCTGATTCACATAGTCTCCTCTGAACAGTTGATGTTGAGATGTGTCTGTTACTTGAACTTTATTTGGGCTGCAATTTCTGAGGCTGGTAACTCTAATGAACTTATCCTCTGCAGCAGAGGTAACTCTGGGTCTTCCATTCCTGTGGCGGTCCTCATGAGAGCCAGTTTCATCATAGCGCTTGATGGTTTTTGCGACTCCACTTGAGGTTCTTGACATTTTCCGTATTAACTGACCTTCATGTCTTAAAGCAATGATGGACTGTCGTTTCTCTTTGCTTATTTGAGCTGTTCTTGCCACAATATGGACTTGGTCTTTTACATTTACATTTACAATTGCGTCATTTAGCAGACGCTCTTATCCAGAGCGACTTACAAATTGGTGCATTCACCTTATAGCCAGTGGGATAACCACTTGACAATTCTTTTTTTTAAATTTGTAATTTTGTTTGGGGGGGGGGGGGTAAGGGGGGGTTAGAAGGATTACTTTATCCTATCCCAGGTGTTCCTTAAAGAGGTTGGGTTTCAAATGTCTCCGGAAGGTGGTGAGTGACTCCGCTGTCCTGGCGTCGTGAGGGAGCTTGTTCCACCATTGGGGTGCCAGAGCAGCGAACAGTTTTGACTGGGCTGAGCGGGAACTGTGCTTCAGCAGAGGTAGGGGAGCCAGCAGGCCAGAGGTGGATGAACGCAATGCCCTCGTTTGGGTGTGGGGACTGATCAGAGCCTGAAGGTACGGAGGTGCCGTTCCCCTCACAGCTCCAAATAGGGCTATTGTCTGTATACCCCCCTACCTTGTCACAACACAACTGATTGGCTCAAACGCATTAAGAAGGAAAGACTTTCCACAAATTAACTTTTAAGAAGGCACACCTGTTAATTGAAATAAATTCCAGGTGACTACCTCATGAAGCTGGTTGAGAGAATGCCAAGCGTGTGCAAAGCTGTCATCAAGGCAAAGGGTGCTATTTGAAGAATCTCAAATATAAAATATATTTTGATATGTTTAACACTTTTTTGGTTGCTACATGATTCCATGTGTTATTTCATAGTTTTGATGTCTTCACTATTATTCTACAATGTAGAAAATAGTAAAAATAAAGATAAACCCTTGAATGAGTAGGTGTTCTAAAACTTTTGACCGGTAGTGTAGTTTATTTTCCTGTCATGTGACCTTTACTTGTCCCCACGTCTATCTCTAGAGACACAACGCTGACCGAGGAAGACTCTAGAAGTTGAAACGCGTTGGAGTTGTGCGTCCTGATGTACAATGCTGATCTGGCTAGTCCCCTGTAGCTCAGTTGGTAGAGTATGGCGCTTGCAATGCCAGGGTTGTGGGTTCGTTTCCCACGGGGGGCCAGTATGAAAATGTATGCACTCACTAACTGTAAGTCGCTCTGGATAAGAGCGTCTGCTAAATGACTAAAATGTAAATGTACTCGTCTTCTTTCTTGGATAGATTCACTAGGCAGGACATTGTGGTAGAGAGACCACTTCAAAGTCAGAAGGGGAGGTCAAGCATCACTCTGATATGGCTGGTGACAGGGACTTGGCTAGAGAGGAGAGGGTGTGTATTTGTGTAGGACAGTGATGTCACAGCTAAAACATGCCAAGCCCTCTCTCCTGTATGATCATTTCCCATAGCGGAGTTGGATCAGAGACGCAGGATCGGTACGGAGTCAGAGACACACACACGCAAGGAGGCATATCACACACGCACACTCAGAGGGTCGTTAGTACTGGCCTGAGATTGGGTCTGGAAGAACTTAGCAGAATAATTACAGGCTGTCCAAACAGAGCAGCACGCAGCCTGCTGGGCTAAGGGAGCGGGGTCACAACTGGGCTGTGGTTGGCCAGTGGACAGATTGGGAGATGACCAGCACCAGGGTCAGTATTACCCTGCCCTCCATCCTCCATCCACTCCTCTGATAAGCAGGAGAAGAGATTTGATTAATGACACTAACTCTCACTCTGCTTTCTTAGGCTTTGATGTCTGCAGGTCATCTGTAAGGTGATGCATCTGCCTTATGTTTTAAAACAGTCATCCAGTCATCGTTTGGCAAGAGAAAGAGAGAGTATTTAAGATCTACAGCAGGGGTGTCAAATACACGGCCCGCGAGGGGGTCCAATATGGCTCCCGGGTGGTTTGCGTAACATTTTTTGAATAATATATACAGTGCATTCAGAAAGTATTCAGACCCCTTGACTTCTCTCACATTTTGTTACGTTACAGCCTTATTCTAAAATTTATTAAATAGTTTTTCCCCCCTCATCAATCTACACACAATAATCCATAATGACGAAGCAAAAACAGGTTTTTAGAAATTTTAGCACATTTATAAAAAAATAAAATAAACTGAAATATAACATTTACATAAGTATTCAGACCCTTTACTCAGTACTTTGTCTAAGCACCTTTGGCAGCGATTACAGCCTCGAGTCTTCTTGGGTATGACGCTACAAGCTTGGCACACCTGTATTTGGGGAGTTTCTCCCATATATACATATACAGTGTATTTGGAAAGTATTCAGACCCCTTGACTTGTTCCACATTTTGTTACTGTGATGCGTGATTTGAAGGAGTCAGGCGCAGGAGGGTAAATCATAGTATACAGAGTTTATTCCGTAATCCAGTGTAACCAGTCCAGTGCGCAAAACAGGCGCACTGGAACAAACATGCACACGGGGAAAATACCCCGGCAATACAAAATACTGAGCTCAACCGAGCTACTAATCCTCACAATAAACAATCACCCACAAGGACAAGGGGGGCAGAGTGAACACTTAAACACATACTAATGAGGGGAATATGAACCTGGTGTGTGTAATTGACAAGACAAGACAAATGGAATGATGAGATATGGAGCAGCAGTGGCTAGAATGCCGGTGACGACGAACGCCGAAGCCTGCCCGAACAAGGAGAGGAGGGAGCTTTGGAGGAAGTCGTGACAGTTACACTGGGGAAAAAAAGTATTTAGTCAGCCACGAATTGTGCAAGTTCTCCCACTTAAAAAGATGAGAGAGGCCTGTAATTTTCATCATAGGTACACATCAACTATGACAGACAAATTGAGAAAAAAAAATCCAGAAAATCACATTGTAGGATTTTTAATGAATTTATTTGCAAATTATGGTGCAAAAAAAGTATTTGGTCACCTACAAACATGCAAGATTACTGGCTCTCACAGACCTGTAACTTATTAATGGCACCTGTTTGAACTTGTTATCAGTATAAAAGACACCTGTCCAAAACCTCAAACAGTCACACTCCAAACTCCACTATGGCCAAGACCAAAGAGCTGTCAAAGGACACCAGAAACAAAATTGTAGACCTGCACCAGGCTGGGAAGACTGAATCTGCAATAGGTAAGCAGCTTGGTTTGAAGAAATCAACTGTGGGAGCAATTATTAGGAAATGGAAGACATACAAGACCACTGATAATCTCCCTCGATCTGGGGCTCCACGCAAGATCTCACCCCGTGGGGTCAAAATGATCACAAGAACGGTGAGCAAAAATCCCAGAACCACACAGGGGGACCTAGTGAATGACCTGCAGAGAGCTGGGACCAAAGTAACAAAGCCTACCATCAGTAACACACTACGCCGCCAGGGACTCAAATCCTGCAGTGCCAGACGTGTCCCCCTGCTTAAGCCAGTACATGTCCAGGCCCGTCTGAAGTTTGCTAGAGTGCATTTGGATGATCCAGAAGAGGATTGGGAGAATGTCATATGGTCAGATGAAACCAAAATATAACTTTTTGGTAAAAACTCAACTCGTCGTGTTTGGAGGACAAAGAATGCTGAGTTGCATCCAAAGAACACCATACCTACTGTGAAGCATTGGGGTGGAAACATCATGCTTTGGGGCTGTTTTTCTGCAAAGGGACCAGGACGACTGATCCGTGTAAAGGAAAGAATTAATGGGGCCATGTATTGTGAGATTTTGAGTGAAAACCTCCTTCTATCAGCAAGGGCATTGAAGATGAAACGTGGCTGGGTCTTTCAGCATGACAATGATCCCAAACACACCGCCCGGGCAACGAAGGAGTGGCTTCGTAAGAAGCATTTCAAGGTCCTGGAGTGGCCTAGCCTGTCTCCAGATCTCAACCCCATAGAAAATCTTTGGAGGGAGTTGAAAGTCCGTGTTGCCCAGCGACAGCCCCAAAACATCACTGCTCTAGAGGAGATCTGCATGGAGGAATGGGCCAAAATACCAGCAACAGTGTGTGAAAACCTTGTGAAGACTTACAGAAAACGTTTGACCTGTGTCATTGCCAACAAAGGGTATATAACAAAGTAATGAGAAACTTTTGTTATTGACCAAATACTTATTTTCCACCATAATTTGCAAATAAATTCATTAAAAATCCTACAATGTGATTTTCTGGATTTTTTTCCTAATTTTGTCTGTCATAGTTGACGTGTACCTATTAAGTGGGAGAACTTGCACAATTGGTGGCTGACTAAATACTTTTTTTCCCCACTGTACGTTACAGCCTTATTCTAAAATGGATTAAATTGTTTTTTTCCTCATCAATCTACACACTATACCCCATAATGACAAAGCGAAAACAAGGTTTTAGAAATGTTTGCAAATTTATTAATAATAAAAAACTGAAATACCTTATTTACATAAGTATTCAGAGCTCATGGATGATCAATGGAAACAGGATGCACCTGAGCTCAATTTCGAGTCTCATTGCAAAAGGTCTAGAAATTTGCACACATTTCTAAAATCCCGTTTTTGCTTTGTCATTATGGGGTATTGTGTGTAGATTGATGAGGGGAAAAAACAATTTCATCCATTTTAGAATAAGGCTGTAATGTAACAAAATGTGGAAAAAGTCAAGGGGTCTGAATACTTTCCGAATGCACTGTGTATATATATACACACAGGTATATGTTAATATATATATATATATATACACACAGGTATATGTTAATATATATATATATATACACACAGGTATATGTTAATATATATATATATACACAGGTATATGTTAATATTTATATATATACACACACAGGTATATGTTAATATATATATATACACTGGTATATGTTACAGTTTCTTGACTGTGTCCAGCTCGCTAATAATCACAGAAATTAAAGCTAGACAGTCAAGGAGCATAAACAATTCCAAAAACGATAGACAGAGGACTATTTTTTGCACATTTTGACAGCAAGGAAATATAACAAATGTTCAGTGCAGCCCTCCGGACCTCGTTGAAGACCGAATGCGCCCCCCGGGGCAAAATGAGTTTGACACCCCTGATCTACAGGAACTGCTTGACTCCAGAGGGAGTGTATACTGCATTCTACAGTGTAAGTGCAGGTCCTGCAGAGTGATGTCTGTATGATGGCTTTACAGCCAGAGGGACTTAGGAGACTAACATGCTGTGTGTGTGTGTGTGTGTGTGTGTGTGTGTGTGTGTGTGTGTGTGTCTATGTGTGCTCTCCCACTGCTTGCTATTCCCATGAATCACAATGCATTAACTTCATGTCTACACTCCTGCTGAAGACATCAGGGGGAGAGGGAACAGGAGAGAGAGGAGATGTGGAGGAAGGAGAGAGGTAGAGAGGAGAAAGGAGAAGAGAGAGGGAGCTGTGGGGGGTGTAAAATAATATCCCATCTGGAGGTGCGGTACCATTACCCATAGTCCTCTGCTCCAGCAGCATGCACTCTATTAAATGCAGTGAGGCAGCGAGGACTCCTTCTACATCCCCTTTCTCCATCCATCAATCCTTCTCACTTCCTCCATTCCCCTTCCGGCCATCTCTCAATCCATCCCTATATCCATACCACCGCCCATCCCTCATTCTTCTTCCCTTCCTTCCTCCCTCCCTTCCCTGCCTCTCCCTCCCTCCCTCTGTAGCAGGAGAGGAGTAAAATGAAGCAATCTCCAGCTGAGGTGTTAAATGAATCTCATTCTCACCACATTTAGAACAAACACACTTCACTCTCAAATAGGTTCTCTTTGTGCCTCTGAATGCCAATGTGTGTGACATATATTTGGGATCCCTGTGAATTTAATGTGGAAATTTGGTTCAAAATGTCTTAGGTAACCGTATCTGAATGCTATGTGTTATTGAAATGTGTGTGAATGCATATGTGTTTGTGTGTATGTGTGTGTGTGCGTGTATGTGTGTTGTGTGCGTGTGTGTGTCCAGGTGTGTGTGATGTCTCTTGTCTCACCTGCTCCCACCACCTTGTCGATGGCGATACAGGAAGCATCCAGCTCCTTGGCAAACTCATGGACGGCCTGACTGGGGTCTTCATAAGTGTGAGGGTCTACATAGGTCCTTATACCTGGCAGACGCACTGAGGAGGGAGAGGGACAGAGTTGGCAATAGTCTTATTGGGAGAACCAGAAGGTGTGTGTGTGTGTGTGTGTGTGTGTTAGTAGATTGTGTTAGCTATAGGAATAGGCAGTGGAGACGAGAGACTTTGGCTGGGTCACAAAACACATTACGTCATGTATGGATAAGTGACGTCATGGATAAGGGACGTCATGTGACATGTATGGATGACCGGCTCATCAATAAGGCCAGTCAATCGTTCCCATGTAAGAACAACACTAGGTTGGTTTATGAGTGTGGCCAGCCCCCTAGGAAAACATGTTTCTGTTCAAATAAACCCCAATCAGGAGATGGCTTATATTGTACACAAACACACTGGCCCCGTACCTAACTAATGCTGAGGTAGGGGGAGAATGACTCAATGTATTTTAGAAGAACGATAGACAGACAGAGAGACATAGAAAGAGACAGACAGAGAGAGGGGAGGAGAGTGCACTTACGGTGACTGTTGCCAAAGTGCAGTCTCTTTTCATCTGGGGTGTTTAGACTTGCTGTAGCCACAGAACCTGTCAGTAACAATGATAGAGATTAAGGTCACACCTTTACCCATCAGCCTTCACTTTACCCTTTTCCGTGCCGTACATCAGAGGGCATAGCACATTGATTGTGTGTGTGTGTGTGTGTGTGTGCAGTGTATGTGTGTGTGTGTGTGTGTGGGGGGGGGGGGGGGGGGGGGGGGGGGGTGCAGAGGAGAGCAGCAGTCAGTCCAGTCTACCATGGTGTGTTTTTCTTTGCTGTGAGCCAGAACAGGATCTGTTGGACTAGTAATGAGCCTGAGAGTTCTACTCTCACTGCAGCACTGACTGCCAACATCAACCCTACACATGCAGGCACGCACACACACACACACACACACACACCTCTCGCATTGGGGCCGTCACACCATACACACACAAGAGGAAAAAAATCAACAGGAGCATGCTGTATAGACCAGGGATCATCATCTAGATTCAGTCGCGGGGACGATTTGTCTTGAGCGGATGGTCGGGGGGCCAGAACATAATTACAAATAATTTGTAGACTGGCAAATTGACTGCAAGAAGCCCAAACAGATATAATATTTGACTAAAATATAATCATTTCAAACCTTGCTTACATTTGCATACAATCACATATCTCTCTATTATGCGTGGCAATACTTTGGCACAAAATCACTTGGAGCAGATATGCTGTAACAATAAAATAAAATAAATTTGCACAGAAAACTTTTTTTTGGGGGGGGCAAATAAAATCACCCGCGGGCCGCCAGTTGGGGAATCCTGGTATAGGGGTATTATTTAACATTAGTAGGGATAGGATCTAGCCTTCCCACAGCATCCTCAGACAGTACAGTATATCTCTGCATGTGTAGGCCGACCCCCCGTGTAGAAAGAGACATGTAATTGGAGCTAACAGAATGTTTTGTGCATTGTGATTGGTGTACAGACCTGCCAATCACCACGTAGAGGAGGACGGTGAGCAGGATGATGGCCACAGAGGAGGAGATGGCTATCAACACCACCTGACTACTCTCACTTGAGATAGAGAACACTGGGTGGGAGGAGAGAGAAACCAGAGAACAAGGCAGGAGAGAGATAGATGTTAGCATATACAGGCACAGGTCAATGCCAAAAATCTAACTATTGAATCACTGACATCCATCACTAGGTGTTGAATTACATACAAAATACAGTATTTAGACTCTTCAACTGTATTTAATATGGTGGGATCAGATCAGTACTTACAGTCAGGGCTTGTCTCAAACTCAAAGCTCCTGCTGCTGGCTCCGTAGCCTGCTGCAGTCCTGGCCCTGATCTGGAGCAGGTAAGAGGTGTCTGCCTTTAGACCACCCAACGTCACGTTGCAACCCTTAGACCGTAGGATGGTGTAGCTGGTCTCCTGCTCTTGCTACAGGGGGTGAGGGGGAGGGGGAGGGGAGAGCGAGCGAGCGAGAGGGAGGGAGAGAGTGAGACATAGGGAAAAAGAGAGAGAGAGAGAGAGAAAAAGAAAGAAAGAGAGAGAGAGAGAGAGAGAGAGAGAGAGAGAGAGAGAGAGAGAGAGAGAGAGAGAGAGAGAGAAAGAAAGAAAGAAAGAAAGAAAGAGAGAAAGAGAGATAGAGAGAGAGGTTATTATCAGTCCATGGAGGAATGTATATAATAATGTATACATGCATCTGTCCACTGAGATTGTTGACACATCGGGTCACCCATCAGGGTCACACACGCACACGCATGCACACACACACGCATGCACACACACACACCAACTCATAACCCACTATGGTGAATTACCACCTTAATATTTTGCCTCTCTACAGATCTTAGCGCCGCCCTGATCCCTCCACCAGCCTAACGGAACTAGATTTACTGTTCGGGTCTACTTTCAGCCATTGTTTTCCAGATGTGGGGACGGTACAGAAGGGAGAGAGGAGGGATCCACAGAGATGTATAGGATTCCCTGAGTGTCCGAGCCTTAAAGCTTATATTGGCTGTCGTACCATCCCTGTCCTTATTGAGCCAGAGAGGGGGAGAGGAGCTGCATGCCAGTGGATCAGGGATCATACTGTTATGGGGAGTGACAGAGATCCAGACAGAGACATTGGCTTCTCCTTTGGCCTTTAAGTAAACCCCCCCCCCCCCCCCCCACACCACACACACACACAGTGATTCCATTCCCCATACTGTAGTAATTAATGAGAAGTGAGATTGGTGAGAATGGGATTGTGGGTAGGGAGAGAAATAACAGAGCAACTCTATCATGTTTCATATGCCTAGACCCTCTAGCCACACTAACTGGCCTGTTGATGAAGGCTGGTACCCTGGTGTGTGTGTGTGTGTGTGTGTGTGTGTGTGTGTGTGTGTGTGTGTGTGTGTGTGTGTGTGTGTGTGTGTGTGTGTGTGTGTGTGTGTGTGTGTGTGTGTGTAATTGTCAAGTGTTGCCAGATAAGGGACAGGCTATGGTTAGAAATGTTTTCTCTTCCACTAATCAGAAGAAAATAAAGAATAAAAAGCTAATGTATGTAAGAGCAGAGCAGACCATTTAAGCAATGCCCATATGGTGAGTTGATCTTCTACAAATACACGTTGGCAACATACATAGGCTAAGACTTGAAATGTTTTAATTTGACATTTCTTGGCTGGTCTTTTGAAATACAGCTCAGCATATTATCCTGCTGTAGACACCTCCTCTAAGAGTCCTATGGTAGATCAGAGTATACTTTCAATATGTGATGATGAGTGTGGTAAGAGGGTTCAGACCATACAGCTAATATTCTCTGATTAGTACATCGTCTCTGTCCAGTGCACCTAGATGTCGAACAAATGCCATCACGCCTCATCACGGCTCCCTTTCATCTAGAGAACTCTAGGAACACACACAAACACACACACACAAACACACACACACACACTATACCCAAGCTGTAGAGCCCTCTCTAAACCAAACATCATGTCCAATAAGCTGATGCCATCGCTCTTTATAGACCCAATAACAGACTGGCGAAGCGATACAGATCAGAATATTTTACACACACCACTCACACACACACTATAAAACACACACACAGACACACATTTACACACACTGTAAAAACACACACACACACACACACAATTCAGAGCCACTAATGGAGTGCATCAGGGATTTATGGTGCAACTTCAGTCTTTCTGTCTGAGAAGAGAACCCAATACCCTCGACACCCCCTCCTCAGGATTGCCCGTGTGATACCTTTTCCTTGTGCCTTGTATAATACCCGTTTTTATCATTCATAAATCTTTCCCAGCTCGTCACTGTTCACTGCCCTCCACATCATGTGATCCCTTGAAAATCACATGCAGGTGTGCCCAGGCTCCCTGAGCTCTAAGATGCATTTTGCAAGCCGTGCGATTGTACCCACTCTCTTTGTATGCTGTTGGTGGAATTTAATATGTCCATCATGTTCCGCTCTGACTGTCTAAATAGTGCAGTCTGGAGTTACAGTCTTATAGTGCTGAGCCCAAGAGAAGCCCTGTAAATACTGAATGTGTGTGAGCAGAAGGAATATAACTCATGTAAATACAGAATGCATTTCAGAAGCATTCCTTTCCATCTCAACCCCAGCATAAATAAACAGTGAAATTAAAGTGGATCTGAAAGTTTCTCTCTCTTTTCCAGATTAATGAGATAAAAACAGAAAAATAAATGCTAAAGTGTATTCCCACAAACTCTATTTTCATAAAGTGCACTAAAAAGCCTTATCTATGACTTAGAGTCATATAGCCTTTAGCTAGGAATACCAACAGTATGTCTGGAGCAGAGAGAGAGGGAGAGGGGGAGAGAGGGAACGGAGAAAAGGAGAGAGGAAGAGGGAGAGTGTAGGGATGGGAATTCCCAATTTCCCAGACATGGTTGATTGGTAAAGCTCCCACTACCACCATCACCCCTTAGCTTAGTCAGTTAGCCTTTCATACACACTGACCACTTATTCCTGTTCTACACACCACCAGGACAGTATAGGCTACCTCCCTAACCCGGCCTGTAATCCAATAGAAGCCTAGCCAACTGTTTGTTTCAGTTTCAGTAACTAACCTTACACAACAACATCGGTACAGCTGTAAACAGGCTGATTGACTGAGCTGCTGGGAAGAAACTCTAGCTGGGCCCCTGCAGGCCTCTTTAGAGCTCTTTAGGCAAGCCTGTGTTTGTGTTGCAGTTTAGTCACTGAGTGAATCCCTGGTAGTCTTGTGATCAGATTGGGGCCCCACTGCTGGGTATAGAGGCCCTCAGTCACCCTCGGTCAGGCCTGATCTAGAGGTCCCGTGCCTGGGTACGGCCCCAGCCTACCCTGCATGTCCCTGGTTGTCCCCTGTGTCTCCCTGGGTGTCCCAGCCCTGGCCGTTCCACTTGGAGGAGCCTATTGTCTTGGAGGTTAGGAGGCTCCAGTCATGCCTGCAGCAGCTAGCGACCCATCGGATGGTGATGGTGGAGCGGATCAAGGGCGACAGCTCAGCTATTCCTGTGCCAAGCTGAGAGAGCTGAGAACGGTCACACAGGAGAGTGGAAGGAAACAGACCCTATAGGCCCAGACCTCAGATCAGTTTAGTGTTTGTCCTTCTGATGGTTGAGGTTAGGATGTGGGGTAAGGTGATCTGATCCTAGACCTGTGTTTTCCCGAGAGAGAGGAGGAGGGCAGCATTCTGCCTGCTAATCAGGGGATTAGGGGCCACCGTGGACTGAGATCTAAGCCTGACTGATCACACAGAGAGAGAGAAAGAGAGAGAGCGAGAAGAGAGAGAGAGAGAGAGAGAGAGAGAGAAGAGAGAGAGATAGGGTGGAGGGGTGTAAGAGAGAGAGAGTAGAGAGAGAGAGAGAGAAGAGAGAGGATAGAGAGAGAGAGAGAGAAGAAGAGAGAGCTAGGGGAGGTGAGCACTCTCGTTCAGCCAGGGATAGGTGAGCTATATCCTATGCTCACACAAAAACGAATATAACAGAGCAGCCACAAAGCTAGCTCTGAGGATCTTAGAAATGCCCATTTCTCTAGGAATGATTAAAAACATGTCACCATGGCTAATTTCACTATCAAATGTCTCCCATAGCTCTGTCCCATAGCTGTATCTGGCTCCATTGAAAATCAGCCATTCGTTCCACACTAATTTCCTCACAGAGACCCTGCAGACACATTTACTGTCAGCAATAAAACTACACTCCATTAAGACTGGCCAGGAGAGGACAGAAGGTGGAAGTGAGAAGGCTGGTTGGTGTGTCAGTGGGAGAGAGTGTGTGTGTCAGATACACAGACAGAGTGAGGGTGTGTGTGTTTGCCCATCTGTGTGTGTGGTCACCCTGCCCAACCGTTTACCCACTAGACTGTGGAATGTTTTTTCTGTGTGAGAATTTTGGCCAGTTGCCAAAGGAGATGGCAATAAGGCTCTCTCCCTAAGAACCCCTGATCACCCTTTTCCCTCTCTCCCTTACCCTGTCTCCACTCTCTCCCTTTCTCTCTGCTTCTCCCCCCCTCTCCCTTTCTCTCTCTGATCCACTGCCAGTGTAAGAGGGAGAGGCCCACTATGTCAGGGCCCAGTGAGGTGCCAAACCCTGATCCTCTTCCCTCTTCCCCAATCGAGGGCCCAGCACCCAGCACCCAGAGAGGAGCCAGAAGACTACCCCAGGGAGACATTAGAACAGAGGAAAACCAGGAGGGGCTGGAATAGGGGAGAGAGAGGTAGAATAAAGCCCAAATGGTGTTTCTTCTCTTCCTTCAGTTCATGGAATCAGTCCCCCAAGAATAGGTCCGCAAGGGGCCAGCAGAGAACAGTACTAAAGCATGTATGGTGTTTGTGAACTGACCTTCTGGTAGTATTTCACCTCGTAGTCCAGTATGATGCCGTTGGGTCTCTCTGGCTCCAGCCAGGACAGAGAGATGCTGTTACGAGACGTACGATCCTTCCTGATTACAGTCACTGGAGAAGGGGCTGGAAAGAGGGAGATGGGGGGAACAGAGAGGTCGAGAGATGATTGACCATATTGCACAACCTATAGCAGTTCACAGGAAGTTCATGCAGCATGTTCAGTCAGCAGTTTTTATCCTGTTAATAGTTCCTATTGAAGGGATTTCTGTTGGTTCCTGTTGGTCTAATTGAGTTAATTAATCCGACAGAGGATAACCAGAGGAGGTCCATACTGAAAGGGGGAGAACAGAGGGAGTCATAACATACATCCACACAGACTGCATCTATACTACAGGCCAGAGTCTCAGAGATCAACCCCAGAACCAGCAGGGACCATGATATCATCCCAAATGTATAGGGTAACACTAGAGAATACCCCAGGATATATAAACCTCATCCCTCCATCCATGCCCCCAGTGTATTATCCTCCCTCCATCCCTCTCTCTCATGTCGCATTGCCTTGGGACCTCACATGGTCTCAATCTGGCACTGTAATTTAACTCCCTCCTTCTCTCCCTCCATTCCTCTCTCCCTCTTTTTTCCACTTTTACAGTTGTATAATTGCTAGCTGGAGCTGAGAGGCCAGGCTGCCATGTGAAGACTGAGCTTTAATTTTATTAGACCACAGGAAACAACATGTTTGTCTTTAAAATGTTAGAGCCTCTCTTGATTCTGATCATATAGCTTCAGAAGGGCTGGCTGTTTTTTTCCACTGGAAGTTATTTTCTCTCTGTTAATGAATCCATATGGAACGAGTCTAATTTCAGTCTCCTACCTCCCTCGCTCTCCCTCTCTTTCCCTTGGTTTGTGATAGTGTATAGCTGTTGTTTTATTGGTTGTGCAGTTTATGAGTGTAATGATTTATCGTCTCTCTCTCTCTCTCTCTCTCCTCTCTCTCTCTCTCTCTCTCTCCTCTTCTCTCTCTCTCTCCCTCTCTCTCTCTCTCTCTCTAGCCCCAATAGGCCTCTCTCAAGCCCCAATAGGCCACTCTCAAGCCCCAATAGGCCACTCTCAAGCCCCAATAGGCCACTCTCAAGCCCCAATAGGCCACTACACAGAGGAGAGGATGTGACTTGTGTGTGTAGGAGAGGGGCTGAGACTGGTCTGAAGACACCCTGTCAGAATATCCGGACGATTCCCTCCCTTCTGAGACGGCCAGTTAATCCAGCTTTTAACAGCTTTGGCAGGTTTAAACAGGAGTGTGTAGTGTGTGTGTTTGTTTTTCTCTGACAGAGGGCAGCTTGCATGTCCTCTCTCTCCACGGACATAGCCACATGTGTGTGTAGGGAGCTGTACATTGACAACCCTAATCCTTGTCAACTCAGCTGCAAAATGAGGATGACTTACTGAGCTCTCTGAACTTAGAAGTTCTGGTCCCCCTTGGTCAGTTCAGAGTAATGATCGGAGACCTCTATGTTGATAAATGTGTCTGATATTCTTAATGTGTTTACTAGATTTGTATATTGTATATTGTATGTGTTTGATGTATTTATACAGAGCTCATCTGTAAAAGAGACCCTAGTCTCAGTATGACTTCCCTGTCAAAATAAAGGTAAAAAAATAAAATAGACAAATACATAATCAGTGGATCTGTAGCTTTTGTAGCCTCTACCCTCCCACTCCCTTGGAGCGGCAGGAGACGAGTGAAGAGTACTAAATCTGTATGCGCACACACACACATTAAATCTGTATTTACTGCTCATCCCTCTGCTGTCATTTCAAAGTGCTGTGTCTGGCCCCTGTCAGCCTTTATAGAGCACAGCTGGTATAACACATAGGACACTCAGCATACACCTCATTGTACACCGTAGTGTGTGTGTGTGTGTGTGTGTGTAGGTATGTACACCCCATCCTACATCACAGGATCTATAGTGTCAAAACATGTATAACCCCCCCTGTCTCTCTCTCTACAGGCAAGTAACAGTGCATTGAGTACACATTACTGTAGCTAGCATTATCCTCCACCAACCAGAGACTGTAGTGTAGTTGACAGTGAAGTCTGGTCTCCTGGCTCCTGAACTAACTGAAACAGTCCCATCTATCACCACTCTGTTACACAGACAGACAGAAGCCTTCACCTACTGTAGCACTACAATAAGAGAGAGGAGACAGGACCCAATGCCCCAGTGGACGCACGGCGAGAGAGTCTTATAGCAGAAAGGAAAGCCTAACTCAAAAACATAGGACTGTAATGGGAGGAGTCAGCACCTTAACTACAACACACAGGTATGACTGAAAACGGAGGGAGAGAGATGTGTATGGATGATTGGGGAATGAGAGACAGAGAGAGAGAAACAGAGACACAGGGAAAGAGAAAGAAAAGAGAGAGAAAGAACCACAGACAGGGATGTATAAAGAGAGAGAAGGAACCACAGACAGGGATGTATAAAGAGAGAGAAGGAACCACAGACAGGGATGTATAAAGAGAGAGAAAGAACCACAGACAGGGATGCATAAAGAGAGAGAAAGAACCACAGACAGGGATGCATAAAGAGAGAGAAGGAACCACAGACAGGGATGTATAAAGAGAGAGAAGGAACCACAGACAGGGATGTATAAAGAGAGAGAAGGAACCACAGACAAGGATGTATAAAGAGAGAGAAGGAGAGGGAGGGTGTAGTGAACTCTAGTCATCATGCATGCATTCCTAGTTTGGTATTGGAATGTTGAGGTTTGTTACATTCCGCTGCAGAGAAATGGATTTGTCTCTGGGAGGGACTTTCACTGGGCTAAGTCCTCCTTCTCCGTTGTCTCTGGGTTGGGATGGTGGAGAATGTTTATATGAGAGATCGATGTGAGCAGCCCATCCCTGTGTTACGACTGCCTGTGTGTGTGTGTGTGTGTGTGTGTGTGTGTGTGTGTGTTCCTGTGTTCCTGTGTGCGTGAATGCGTGAAAGAGTGTTTATATGAAGGGTTGATGTGAACCCATTCCATTATAACGACTGTCTGTAAAAACTGAAAAGCAACACAAAGATTTATACAGAGTGTATTTGTGAGGAGGGAGACATTTGATACTGGTGATAAAACACTGAAGAACACTTAATGGGATCTCCTTGTAAATGTCCAGAGCTGATGGTTGGAATGCATGAATGTACGTTTATGTGTGTCTTCATCTCTGGGTCTCACCTGCTTGGTTGGTAGTGATGGTCACAGCAGCATATTGCCTCATGGTTGGGGCTAACTGGGACACTCCATTTTGAGCTTCTATCTCAAAGGTGTAGTTAGTGTGAGCCAGCAGGTCTCCCACAGTTATGGTAGTGTTCTGCAGGCCTGCAGCACGAGGGAGGAAACGTACGTTGCTGCGACACGCCTCACACACCCTCTGGCCCTCCCTGCAGCGCTTACACAGCACGGTGAAGGTGACATCCTTACGACCTCCCGTGTCCTCCGGCCAGGACCAGTCCAGAATCACTGAGGTCTCATTGATGACTGAGATCACGTTACGAGGAGCAGAGGGAGGACCTGAAGAGAGAGTGAGAGCACGAGAGAGAGAGAGAGAGAGAGAGCACGAGAAAGAAAGAAAGAAAGAAAGAAAGAAAGAAAGAAAGAAAGAAAGAAAGAAAGAAAGAAAGAAAGAAAGAAAGAAAGAAAGAAAGAAAGAAAGAAAGAAAGAAAGAAAGAAAGAAAGAAAGAAAGAAAGAAAGAAAGGAGCATTGAAAATATATAATATACCAGGGATCATCAACTAGATTCAGCCGCAGGCCAATTTTGTCTTGAGCGGATGATCAGGGGGCCGGAACTTAACTACAAATCATGTGTACAGTGCAAAGTGACCGCAAGAAGCCAAAACAGATATAATATTTGACTAAAACATAATTTACAAACCTTGCTTACAATTGTATACGATCACATACAGTGCATTTGGAAAGTATTCAGACCCATTAACTAAAATGGATTACATTTTTACAAATCCTTATCAATCTACACACAATACCCAATAATGACAAAGCGAAAACAGGTTTTTAGAAATGTATAAAAATAAAATAAAATAAATACCTTATTTACATAAGTATTCAGACCCTTTGATATGAGACTCAGAATTGAGCTCATGTGCATCCTGTTTCCATTGATCATCCTTGAGATGTTTCTACAACTTGATTGGAGTCCAACTGTGGTAAATTCTATTGATTAGACATGATTTGGAAAGGCACACACCTGTCTATATAAAGTCCCACAGTTGACAGTGCACATCAGAGCAGAAACCAAGCCATGCGGTCGAAAGAATTGTCCTTAGAGCTCCGAGACAGGATTGTGTCGAGGCACAGGCACAGATCTGGGGAAGGGTACCAAAAAATGTCTGCAGCATTGAAGGTCCCCAAGAACACAGTGGCCTTCATCATTCTTAAATGGAAGAAGTTTGGAACCATCAAGACTCTTCCTAGAGCTGGCCACCCGGCCAAACTGAGCAATCGGGGGAGAAGGGCCTTGGTCAGGGAGCTGACCAAGAACCCGATGGTCACTCTGACAGAGCTCCAGAGTTCCTCTGTGGAGATGGGAGAACCTTCCAGAAGGATAACCATCTCTGCAGCACTCCACCAATCAGGCCTTTATGGTAGAGTGGCCAAACGGAAGCCACTCCTCAGTAAAAGGCACATGACAGCCCACTTGCAGTTTGCCAAAAGGCACCTAAAGGACTCTCAGACCATGAGAAACAAGATTCTCTGGTCGGATGAAACCAAGATTTAACTCTTTAGCCTGAATGACAAGCGTCACATCTGGAGGAAACCTGGTACCATCCCTACGGTGAAGCATGGTGGTGGCAGCATCATGCTGTGGGGATGTTTTTCAGCGGCAGGGAGACTAGTCAGGATTGAGGGAAAGATGAACGGAACAAAGTACAGAGATCCTTGATGAAAAGCTGCTACAGAGCGCTCAAGACCTCAGACTGGGGCGAAGGTTCAACTTCCAACAGGACAACGACCCTAAGCACACAGCCAAGACAACGCAGGAGTGGCTTCGGGACAAGTTTCCGAATGTCCTTGAGTGGCCCAGCCAGAACCAAATATCTCTGGAGAGACCTGAAAATAATAATACAAACCTGTTTTTACTTTGTCATTATGGGTTATTGTGTATAGATTGATGAGGGGAAAAAACAATTTTATAAATTTTATAATAAGGCTGTAACGTAACAAAATGTGGAAAAAGTCAAGAGGTCTGAATACTTTCCGAATGCACTGTATATCTGTCTATTAGGCGTGGGAATACTTTGGAAAAGATTTCCTAAATTAAAATAACTTGGAGCTGATTTGGGCCAAATTCAGCCCGCGGGCCACCAGTTGGGGAACCCTGTAAAATATAAATCAAACTGTGTGTGTGATGGAGACATATGGAAGTAATTACACAGGGAACTAACCAGAACTACTGAGATCCACTGTAAAGGATTGGAATGATGGAGGAGATGGGGTGACGAGGATTGACTTTGACAATATAATGCCTTGTTGGTTTGTTTGTTTGTCTGTGGTGTTGGGGTTCAGATAGCGGATACAGTCAACTCTACAGTACTCTACTGTTCTATCTCCTTGACTCCACTCTACTGTACATTCAAAACGCACATCTAGCTGCCTGAACATAATACTAATGAGACCAGAGCTCTGGGTTTCACATCAGTCTCCAACCTCAGGCTGCCACATAGGGTGTGTCATGTATAGATGTATAGATTACCAGATATGATGTGAACAGCGGAACAGTGGGTGGAGATCAGCTCATATAGTCATACTGGTGTAAATCTATGTTCCTGTCCAAACTTGACCTTCCTTTCCAGACTCCTGCTCATTACCTTAGTCTATAAAGGTTTTAGGACTGTAAAACAGGACTCTACCAGATCAGTATGAGGAAACTGGAAATAAGGGTATGCTGTGGTTGGTTGTTCTTAACTCCCCCCAGGGACTACAGACATGGCGGCTGCAGCTGGTTTAATAGGACAGCAGTCATCAGGGATGCCAGGGCAGTGATCTATGGGTTATGTAGTTTAGGATGCTTGGCATCAGCCATCTGCTTCTGTGAACCATTCGGATACAGCTCAGAGAGAGAGGAATGATGGATAGGAGGAAGAGAGAGAGAGAGAGAGAGAGAGAGAGAGAGACTAAGTAGAGAGAGAGAGAGATGAGAGTAGAGATTAGAGGAGAGAAGGATGAGCGAATATCGAGAGAGAGAGGACCGAGGATAAGCGAGGAGATGTTTTAGAGAACAGTGCGAAGTTTGATTCCC